ACAAACAGACAGAATCTAGGACCTCTCTTTTTCTTGGCTGGCATGGTATGAATTCATGCTGTACTATTTTAGTGATCAATGTTTTATCAATGTTTTATTCCTTTTTGTCTATTTCATAATCCTGGGGCACAGAGCAATTTAACGCATACTCCCAGTTATCAGAATTATAACTTTTAAAGTGCAGCTCCCAGTAATTCTTCCTGGACCTGTCTGATTTCACTGTCTTTCAGTCAGTGTTGGTGCTTGAGGAGACAACTTATCCTTTATCCTAAAAAGTCCTTTGTTAAGAACTTCTAAAATTGAAAAAAAAAAGTAGCAATTAGTTGGTATTCTGACTGGGACAAATGCAAAGGTGTCTTCTAGTACCCTGGGATATGGCGTGCGCTACTTTGGAAAGAATCAATCAGTCAGAGATTGATGAAGGGGTGCTGAGGTCAGGTTTGCAAACACAGAACCATCTGCAGAGTCTCCTGGGTTGGTACCTGCAGCAGAGTAATTTACAGGAGCAGGTGTTTCCTTTTAATCTTTTTTTTTTTTTTTTTCTGCTGAAATTGTAACTTTATTGAGAAAATGCCTGCAGTTGGTTATTAATAGCAGACTACATCTATTGATGCTATTAACTGCTAAGGTTTCTGAAAGTTGCAGTTAGCATACTACTTAAAAACATTGGTAAGAACGGAGACTGTGATATTAAATGCCTGCATCAATCAAATGTGTTTTCAGAAAGTTACTACACACCAATCTATTAAAGTCCAAAAAGCTGTTTTTAAGACAATGATTTTTGTTCAGAAAGGAGACATAGAAATTATCATAATTATCATTTATTTCAGTTTATGGCTATAAACTGAATATATAAAATAAATATATTTATGACGGAAAACTTTCTGAAACAGAATAAAAATTCAAGAATGCCTAGTGGAATTTCCCACCTGAATTGAGCTTGGCTGGATGGGCACTCAAGTAACACACCTTTGGTTTGGATCCAAAATGTGTAAGCAATAGGTCAGTAGAGAACACCTGGATTCAAATTCATGTTTCTGGATTCCTTCTACCTCAGAGTTCAGTTCCAGCTCTGCTCAGCCTGTACTCCCCAAACATCCAAACTGTCAGAGCATCACTAACTTCAGTTAGTGACAGACATAGGGAATATGCCTAAGACTTAAAACTGTACTCACATGGTAATCTCTATAGAGAGATATACATCCTTTTCCACCTCACAAAACTCACTTAATTTATCCCCTACAAGTTCCTTCTTCTGCTCAGTTACTGAAATGTTTGAAATTGTATTGTCTCTACTTAATGAATTTTATCCATACTACAGTTTTTAACAGAAGAAAAATAATGTATGGGAAAGTGGTTCCTTGGTTTGAGAGTATCACAAAAAAAAAATCACTTGGAAACACTGGGAAAGTGCATAAAATTTATCCACATGTGACTGAGAACACTGTAACCAGGCGATGTTCTATCTCGCCAACGAATAAGGGAAAAACAACAATCAAATTTAATTTCTCTCTACAGAAACCAATGAATTTAGAAACATTTAGAATTCAGAGTTATAGTGCTCTGCTTTAGATGCTAAGTCTAAACATCAAAGGCTACAACTGACCTCCAGTCAATTTTTCTCCCATGTTCCTACTATTGAGGATGATGATACACCACATCCACATTCTTTTGAAGCTTTACAGGTAGAGTTTGCAGCAACTTTTAGGAAATGAAGGAAATAAAGGAAAATGAAGAAGGAATAAGGAAAGAAGGAAATTAAAGAAAGAAGGACAGTGACTCAGCAATGAAAGTAAATTCTTTGTTCTGTCCTTTTGTATAAGATTGGTAATGATTTTAAGACAGATCTATCCCTCTGCAAACACAAATTAATAAAAAGTTCCTGAAGTCAGAACCAAACTGCTTAATTTGGGTATTTCTCAGTTAATAATCGAACTAATTTAATTTTCATTTGATACATCATCGCCCTCAATTTTCTTCTGTTTTCCATTTCTTCTCCTGGGAAGGTTCCCTCTGTTTCTGGCATGTTTCCTTGTCACTCTAATGAGTACTGAGACAAAGAAATCTTTCATTTCCCAGAAATAGCCATCTCATCTGTTGCTAATTTCCCTTCCTATTCCTTGTGAACACATGGCTCCTGTCTACAGCCTCTTGTGCACACATTTGTGAAATGTTCTATTTCAACTTCTGGCAAAATTTTCCAATTTCAGAAAAAGCTTGTTAATATATGCAGTCAATTTTCACCTGGATAACACGGAAGAAATGCAAAGGATTTTCATTAATCCTTAAAAAAAAAACTGTTAAAAGGCTTATTATATATAAAACAGGCTTTCTGTTTTTCTTTCTTCCCTTTTATCTGTACTTTCATTTCTATAGCAGCAGATTAATGGTTTCTATTGTTTGATTGATTATTTTCTTTTCTTCCTTCCTCTAAGTCATGTACATTTTCCTATCTCCTACATGAGCTGGGCTTCTGAAGCACACAAATGCAGTAAAGTGAGCAAGTGTGCTGAAATTTTCATGTCTTGACTCTTGGATCCAGCCAGGTCTTTATTCAAAACATGGAGTGCCTTGTAATGTAATGATCCTACGTCAGAAATTTGCACAGTAAACACTTGAGTTTTACATGATCATTTAAATCATACTACATAGTCAGTCCAACAAAAATGTTTCTTAAACTAAATTGTATTTAGTTAATGTGAAAGACCTAACAACTTGCATAAAAAAGAAGGAAATCCACAGTGATGGCATCTCCATGAAATTCTTGCAGTCAAACCTTGTAGAGTTACAATGATCTACAGATCGCGCTGCTTAAGCTGATGACGACTTTTCTTCATAGAAACCCATCTTTAAGTAATGTCTCCTTTCTGCTTTTTTCCATATTGAATTTGGCTCCTAGTAATTAACTTTATTTACACACTGTGTTCCTCCTTTTGATGTAAAACTCATGTAACTTTAAGTCTCATTACTCATTTCAGGTGCAATGAACATTACATTTGGCACCACAGTAAGTTAGCAACTATCAAGTAGCATCCAGAACCTTGTTCAAAGTTAAGTCAGTAAAGTTTCATTAACGATACACTACTAGCAAAACTACTGGGTAAAAGCTTTGAATGAAAATGTGAAACAAGACCACACAAATTCTAACTAATTTTGTTTGAAGTTCACACAATATACTGTTTCCATTAGGAAAGCCAGACAAAATTTGTTCCAACAACCAATTTTGTTTACCGTTGACTGAAAATGTGCAATGTGCTAAAATAAGGCTTAGTGAGTAATTAGGATCACCAGGTCAACTGTACAATATTTCATTACAATAAAGTTGCTACTTAGAAAATCAATGCTCTTTTTCTTGCCACTCTCAGCAGCCTTGCTTGCTTTGCATATGGCTGCATGTTTAATTAGCGATCCTTCTGTAAGTGTCTGCAATTAGCACAATGATGATTAATAAAATAACTCCTTTAAAGCTCAATTTAGGCAGCAGAACTGCACAATAAGGTATAATTAATTCATCATTAATTAATCATGGCTGATTAACTAATCTGTTGATTAAAAACACATTACTGCATAGTATCCCACCTGAGCTCTGGTGATTTTTCTATCCAGAACTGAAAGAGACTAAGTAGTAGTAAACCATTAAAAAAAAATGCATTAAGCAGCAAGTTTATTCATTTAGTCAGGAAATTTAGATAGCAGAGATATATAAAATTTCCCAGCCTTTGTTCATTATTAGCATCCCCTGGGAAAAAAAAAAAAAAAGAAAGTAAGAAAGAAAAAAAGTACTATTTGTTAAATGTCAACAGATGAACAATAATTGCTTTTTTAGATCATTTATATTCTTAAAGAGGTGGATTGTTGTTTTTTTGAAAGCATCTCAGACAATGGACTAGACTCACACTTTTATAAACCAGACTAAAGGAGCAAATGCAGCAAAACAAGCTTGCAGGAAGGCTCAAGCAGGTCTAAGGCACTAAATGGAAAGTGGTGATTTGCTTTATGAGAAGACAAGGTCAAGGTGACTGCAAAATATGCCACTGCAACACTGCTGTTGAGCTGTCTCCATTGCAGTGCCTTGCCTACAATGATTCCATGTTTATAAATTGTACATACGGTCCCTGAACTTCAGCAAGCCTGAATACAGGAAAACATGCATTTCGATTTGTTGGCTTGCTTGCCATCTAGTTCTCAAGCTTTGTGGTGCATTTAAATCTCATATTCAGTAAGTTCCGTGCAGTCACAATAACAAGGAGCTTATATTTTAATTAAATCCTAGGATTTTCACACTGTTATTTGCACCAGATACTTGGGCTTCAGTGAGTTAAAACTTGTGTTGAAATTCAAAATAGCTGGAACTACAACAATTTGTCACAAGTAACTTCCTCAGCATTTATAAAGGACTGTATATAAGATTCAGTTGTTCCCACACTGTGACAATGCCTTTGAATTCAAACCACATTATTTTCAGGCACAGGAATGGGCTGCCCAGGGAGGTGGTGGAGTCACCGACCCTGGAGGAGTTCAAGGAACGTTTGGAGTTTGTGTTGAGGGACAATGTTTAGTGAACACTATTGGTGATAGGTGGATGGTTGGACTGGATGATCTTGAAGGTCTTTTCCAACCTTGGTGTTTCTGTGATTTTTTTCAGCAATGCCCAGCAACAGGACAAGGGGCAATGAGCACAAACTGGAACACGGGAAGCTCCATCTGAACATGACAAAGATCTTTGTTACTGTGAGGATGACAGAGCACTGGAACAGGCTGCCCAGAGAGGTTGTGGAGTCTCCTTCTGTGGAGATAATCAAAACCCACATGGATGCTTTCCTGTGCAACACACTGTAGGGAATCTGCTTCAGCAGGGGATTGGACTCTATTAAGGAATTAATTCAAAGTTTACGAAAAAGGTGACCTGAAAGGGAAAACAGAACTTCAGTTGGAGTACCTCAGTTACTTTGGGTATTCCTAATAAACCCAGAGAAATATAAGAACAGCAAAGGAAAAAGTGACATCTGAAGCGGCATGCTCAATGACGAACATTAGAGAACAAACTTTTAATTTAGGAATAAATCTTCGGTTCTTCAAAAGCAAGTGACATTACAGTAACCAATAACATTTTCTTTTTAAAAAATTTTTAACAGTCTTCAGGGTATCACTATATCAATCTCTTAAATTTGTTATAAATGTGAAGTGTTAAATAAGCAGAAGAACTGTAAGTCGCAGCAATTACATTTACCCATGAGAAGTACCATTCATAAAAAAGAGCTCTATTTCTAAACCTTTTGTATTTTCTTCATGTTTTAATTCAAGTAAATTAATGAACATAAGAATCATTTCAATATGTGGCAGAGAAAGGAAGCTGACTATAGTCAGTTTGATTGTTTTATCACATAAAGAAGTTTATAAATCAATCCAGAAGGTCAAGTGGCTTTTAATGGGAAAAAGAGAAAAAAAGAATTATTTAAGAGCAGAAAAATAAGAGGGATGTCCTTGGACAATTTCTGAGATCAATTTACAGGTGAAATCCTGAGATGAAAGTGAAGGAAACGATGCCAGGGATCTTCAAGATTAAAAGTGAACGTTTTCAAGCAATTTTTAAAAATGGACAATAAGTAATCGAAGATTTTAGGGAACAGTGGTAGTGCACTGCCCAAAACTAAGATATAATCAACACAATATGAGTAATGTAAAGGTGTGATACACGATACTGTTAGTGTCAGTTTCTTCATAAAGTCAAGTTTCCTTTCAATACAATAGCAAACTGCCCCGCAACTTCAACTCTTCCATTATCATGAAGTGAAATCTTCAACTCTCCTCCACGTCGAGAACATTGAAAAGCTAAATGGAAACAAGAATAACACGAATCCAGAATTAAAACTTTAGTGTTACAAATCAATTTTTATAAAATGTGTGAAAATTCAGGCTAACGTGGCCTCTGTATCTCAAACTAGAATTTGACATAAGAGTCTGAAAAAAGTGGTATGTAATAGCAAGTAATGAAGGATGGTGGTTTACTCTGTTGTAATGAACTAAGTCTTCTTTGTACATCTAGAAATGTCTTAATGTGCCCATTCATGAGATAGACCATTTCCCTAGCCAAGAAGGAAGAATATTATTATCTGCATAAGAAGAAAGAGCTTCACAGTTAATGAACTAGAACTAGACACTAGGTTCAAAGAACTCGTTTAGTTAATGAGTAAGTAAAACTAAAGTAACCAGTCTGCAAAGAAATATAGATGCTGTTTCAGCTGTCACAAACTGAAACGAAAGTCTTACACAGACAGGAACAAATTTATATAACTTCAGGATTTACATAATCCTGAATATATCATTTAATACACTTGGATAAAGTTTAAATGATAAAAGCTTTCCACTGATAAATAATCACAAATCTAATTTTTTTAATGAAACTTTTTATAGTCATACTCAGTTGAGAAGATAATGCTTAGCATGCTGACTCTGCAGTCTTGTTTCAGTCAGTCCAATGTTAGTTGCAGAACTACTTGATCAGAGAGCAGCCAGGTTAGGATGGCATCTAGCAAAGGTTAGAGTTTCATACTGTTTTGCTTTTGTAAAAGGCTGCAAATGGATGACAATGTTTAGTCTCTCTACCTAATGAAATTCCAGCTGCAAAAGTTGTTGAAAACTAAAGGGAATGTGATACCCTCATGATATCCTAAATTTATAACTGAGTAGAGATTGTATTTGGATCCTGGCAGCGTATAACAGATGATATATATACTGTACACTGTCAGATCATTTCTTAGCAACGGTTGACAAGAAAGCTCTTATTTATACAAGGATATCAGACTCTTAGACAAAGCAAAGGTTCCCAAAACAGTGCAAATAGGAGCTACATGACAGCTATGGATGCTTCCTGGTCTTTTCTCTTTAATGAATTACTAGTCATTGATTTTAACAAGAGCAGTATTTATGTATGAACAAATGCTTTCAAATACAATATTTTGGGCTGTTAATGGTCCATGCCACACTAAATTTGGTGAACTATTATTGCCAAGTGCAGATACACAGCTAAACTTTCCCACTTCTTTGAGATAGCAGATCTAAAGAAAAGAGCTAAATTATTTCTAATCTTAGAGGTTGGTTAGATTTTGCTTTCCCTTCTTCAAATGTGGAACCAGTGCTGTTTCATGGCAGGCTTACTAATTTGATTTTGCTCCATTTTGTTTTATTTTTAAAGAAACCTGCAAAACATAAGGGGAAAAAAGCCACAAAGATCTTGCTCAAGACTATATGTAAATAATATTTGACCATCTTCTCCTTCTCTCACACAGAAACACTGATATTTCACAGTGTAATTGAAAGGAAGCAAACCTGCATGGAATATTTCATTAACCAGATGATTTCATTGAATAGCAATGTCTTCAGAGAGATTCAAGCATCTCTGATGCTTTTTGGATCATGCAGCTTTTTCAGTACGTTATGATCTGTAAAAATTACCTACAGTAATTCAAGTCAGTGCCCTAAATTCCTTTGTGATTACCCTGAGATAGAGGAAAGTTCAATAGTATGTACAAACAACTTCACACACTTACGTGCCATGCTGCATTCAGAAGGGGGTCAGTGACCCCATACCAACATTAACCTATTGTTTTGAGGAGCCTCTTATTAGACTAGGCCTATTTACTTGACCATTGGTTACAGAATTTGAGAACTACTGGATTTTATTTGTGATGTAATGATAATGACAAATCAGGAACAAGTGCTATTCTTGAAAAAATATCTGGTTTTAGAAATCATGGTTGTTTTGATCAAATCTCTAATGCCTACAAAAGGATTGGTTAAAAAGTACTTGTACCTAGCCTTTTGTCAATATCACTGAAGTGAAATTAAGACCTCTAAGACTTACATTCCAAAAACTAAGGTCAACAAATCTTCTGATTGATGGAGTGAAAGACCTCTCCTTTGGCTACACTTGTGCATAAATCTGATGCAGCCCAGTGAAAAAGAATACTAAAAAAAGCAGTGAATTCTATTGATCTATCTTTCCTGTTAATCTCATCATTTAAAAACTGTGATTTTAACTGTGCAAAACTCTCTACTTCATGAATCTTTGAATGAGCAATTCAACAAATTCTAACAAATGTAGATTTATTCTATCTTATGAAGCAATTTCTTCACAAAAAAAAAAAAGTGAAGAGACTAAAAAGTTAAGAGACAGGACCTTAAGTTGAAAGAAATTCTGGCAAATGTTTTGAGAAGGTGACCTTACAGTAAGATCTGCTTCCTTCCACTCCTCATAAACCTCAGAAGATATGGTGAGCCTGTTCTATACTGGTAAGCAATCATAGAAGTTAGAGGCAACAACAAAAGCAATTATCACCACACATTAATTTAGTTAACTGGATTAAAGAGGTTCAGAAAGATCCCCCCAGCTTTACCAAGCATTAAAAATTGTCCTGAATTAAAACTCTTCTCTTTAAATAAATTTGGAAAATCTTCTACAGTACGTTTGGGTATATTAAATTTCTTATGTATGTTTATAAATGACATAAAGATACACAAAATGACATAAAAGATACACAAAAGACTGTATACAGACACAACTGCTAAATAGTGTAAATACTATATTCACTGGCAATTATGAAAGTCTAAAATATCTGATATTACAGATTATCTTTATTAAAAATATATATAATACTATTTCAAGAATTCCTCAAATGAAGAAAAGGGTAAGGACTGATAGCAAACTCCCATTTAACACATATATTTATAGCTCCAGGAAAAATGAGTGAAGTATCTCACCTTGTAAAAAGACTGGAAAATTCGCTTTGTAGTTATTGAGAGTGTTTGTTGTTTGACAGTTTGGTTTAATAAAGATAGGAAGAGAACCCAGACACAGGATATTATGTCTGATACTTCAGCAGAGATGTAACTGACCTCCTCCTAGAGGTCACAATACCCAGAAAGAGCTGATAACAAATTTAATGTTCCTCTTTTTTTTGTATACAATTTCATATCTCATCTATTTTGGAACGAAAGACTTTCAATTTTAAATGGAAGAAAACCTTTATTCTTGCAATAAAAGATAGTGCAAAGGCACTGCAGAAGTTTCTAGGTAGTCAAAAGATGCTTTAACTTATTAACCTTCAGTAATGCATTGACTGCCACCTTTTCTAAACAGTCACATCACAAATGGAATTCACTCCAGTAATACCTAATAACCTTCAATGCACATGGAAGGAAAAGGTTTTTTTGAACATATGAAAAAACCACAGGTTGATAAGATGTCATATGAATTTGCCCTCTTTAAATCTGTTTTGTATTATTTCCACCACACATATTAAAAAAAAAAAAACAAACAACCAAAACTGAAGGCATTGATGGCAGCAGTCATAAAGGATATTTATCTATTATGGGAAAAATACTGACAACTAGCCTGAGAACAAGGCTTGTGAGTCAGGAGCACCCCTAGAAAGGCACAGCTGGCTTTCCTGAGGCTGAATGCCTCAGAACTGTGGACATCCTGCAAAAGTCGTCCATAACGGAAAAACAAGGAACTGTAACTGCAAACTATTGTCAGGACAAACGGGACAACAATCTGGGACAGTAGGAATCAGCAACTGGTATTGGCAACTTTAGCCAAAAGAAAAGAAAGTGGTGGGGAAAAAGTAAAATGTCAGAGAGGATAGGAAGCCACACCAGCTGTCTCAGGTGAAAAAAAACAAGCAGCACTGTACAGTCTAAAGTGTGCACTCTTGTGTCTGTGATATTAAAATCTGGTATTTTCTAAGCAAAACGGAGCCTCTTTGAGAAGTTCCTGTGTTGCACAAACTTTTCTTTTTCCTAGAGAATTTCCTAAACAAACCAAATCTCTGCTGGGAATGATCCCAAAAGCCCATGACACAGATCGTCTTTGAAGTGAGACTTTGTCTATTATTTAAATGGTCCTACTTGTGAGGGTCAAACTCTTCCTAATTAGACCCTTCTGAGGTCTATTTGACACCCACTTCTGGGAATGGTTCGATAGCACTCACTACCAGTAACATTTTAAATATATGTGCATATGTAGGCAATCAATTGTAAGCATATTTGTTATTTTACTAGCAAGATATTTTTAGCAACCTGCAATACCAGAATATGTATTTGCTGCTATGTTATTTGCTGCTGCTATATACATCTTATATATATATATATATATACACACACAAAATGCATATACTTTCTTTCTTGTTAAGAAGTCATAATAGGTTGAGGTACAGTTGCATTATTAATCATAGGTATAATCTTCAGAGGTGATTTGTACTCAAGTAGAAAAATACAGGAAATAAAACCAATGTGTCTTTGTATATAATAAAGTTCTACAAACACACTGTTGTGATCTCCACCCACCTACTTGTCAGGTAACCCTTTAGACTGTGATAGGTATATTTGCACAAAATATGAAGAAATCCTACCTTGTGGTAATACGGGATTTTTTTTTTTTTTTTTTTTTTTTTTGCTAAAAATATTAGAGGAGATGATTACAGTATCAGTTGCCTTTGCAGCTTAAGACAGTTTCTCAAAATAAGAGGTAAAACATGGTACCAGTAAAATACATGAAAACATAAAAGTAAAAAATGCCACCTAAAAATGCAGACAGAATTTCTGCCTATTATTTAAAGAAACGCTGTCTACAGGTGGGATGAAAGTTTCTGATCCCCACATTACGATCTGGAGCTGCTCAAGACCAGGTTGGACAGAGCCCTGGGCAACCCACTCCAGTACCACATCTGGAGGTTGGTGGCCCTGCCTGTGGCAGGAAGTTGGAACCTGATGATCCTTGGGTCCCTTCCAACCCAAGCCATTCTATGATTCTATAATCTTAAGACAAACAGCCAGTCCATCTGGATACAATGCCAAAGACAGTTTCTCCTTTTCTTTTCAAAAAGTATGATATTTTCCCCCCTTCTCCCCCCATAGCTTCATGGAAATTACAACAGATCTGTATGATACAAGTGCAAGCATGAGATCTTCAGAACAGATTGCAAAACTTTTCCTTCAACTCATGATGGAAAAGTCTCAGTCATTGTGGATTATCACATCAAGCTATGGAGGTCTAACAGATCCTTTAAAGAGCTTATCAGTGTCAAGAAAAGTTTGGTCTCAGACTCTTTTGGCTAAATATAGGAAAGCTTATATTCAAGGTAGCTGTTTGTTTTGAAAGACATTTACTTTAGGGATCCTATTATATTAAGGATCCAACCCTTGTTTTAGACTAAGTGACAAGAATTGTGTCTTCGGTAACAAGCACATAAAAGAACAGTATTTCCACCACCACCATCACCTCCCTTCAGGGGAACCAGAGGGTTATGAGGGTATTTCACAACTGCTTCTATTCTTCCACTTTCCAGCAAAGCAACAGAAACGTGAGAAGAGGCACTCAATGCCTCTCTATCTAGCCTTGTCAAGTGTAACCGTTTCTCCCAGGTTTTCTTCCCCCATCACTCGTCTTCATTATTTGCTTAGCAGTAAATACGTGATCCACTAAGCCTATCTTTTCCAAAGACAAAACAATTATCAATAATAAATCAGCTCTTTCACTTAAGATCTGGTCATCTCAAAAGTAGAACTGCAAATCATACACATCACAAGTAAATGAAGTTGCCAGTGCCCACGCACCTTGTCTCCATTTAAATATTTAATGTTGGATACATTCAAATTGATTACCTTTTGTTCTATCCTTTCCTGCTACCATATAAAACATTATCACCATAAGAAAACTAATTTTAGGACAGAAGAAAAAACTGTACCACAAAGCACATCCTTTAAGTACAGTCTGAATGCACCATCTCCTCTTATCTGACTATAAAAATATGAGCCACTTTAAATCATGAGTTTTCTAAAGAACTCATTGAAGGAATTAATCTCGACTAATTTCCCTCTAAAAATCCCTAAATCAAACAGAACCATTTTTTCCATCTCAACACATACATGAATGGAAAGGAAAACTCAGTGATCCCTATGGTCCCATCCAACTCAGGAAATTCTATGATTCAATGCTTCTAAATTGTACTGAGAAGTATACACATTGTGAATGAGAATAGTGACTGATACCTCTTCCCAATAAAAAAAAGCAAGCTGTAAGGAGCAAGAAGCAAAGTATAATTCATTCAAAACACACAATGAACATCAACTAAAGCTCACCAAGCTTCAGTCATGATGAAAGGTCATGATAGTAAAAATATAAAAGTTGAGATCAAAAACCAACCACAGAGTTATGATCCACACGCTCAGATTCCCTACAGGCATAACGTGTCGTGCTGGGAGGTAGGAAAGAAAGCAGTTTCTTAAGGATTACCTCTCACAAAAAATTTTACTATTCAAGTTGAGAAATAGATAAGGAGTTATTACAATATTTTGGTTGTAGTTTTTTTGGTTTTGTTTTTTTAAATAGATGAACAGCTTTGCAAGAAAACAGTTCCTCTTACCAAGCATTTCTTTCTTTCCCAGCTGCTCTGACCAGTAGCTGCTTAGAACAGCATGGGCAGATCCTTAAAAGAAATTGGAACAAAAAGCACAGAATTAGAATCACTATTTATAGAGTGATTACATTCAAAATGCAAATGCCATACACAAATTGAATGTTCCATGTCTGTATGTAAGAGTAAAAATGCCTACGATTTTGCAAAGCAAACAGAACTTAAGGCTTCTGCATTTCATTTGTTTACAATCAAGCAGTAGTACTTCCTCACCTTCCAGCTTCAATGGAAATTTTGCCTAAGGGCTTTGTAATTAGCCTCAAGAATAACAGATAGTACAAGTTAAAACATTTGAGCCAAAGTATTGACTTCTGGTAAACAAGTGAGCTTTCCTAATAACCGAATCTCAAAACATTAAAATTCAATAACATTATTTATCTAGACAGTGTGTTATTCGATGGAACAAATAGCTAACCACAAGAAAAGAAAACTGAATCAATTTTTGGATATTTTTTAAGACTAGGAACAGGTGGATAGATGTCACTATGGAAAAAGAAAGAATTCCCTCCCTTAACGGTTTTCACAAACAAAACTCTGTTTGTACTTTTTTCCCCCAGTCTTGAACACTGTTAAGTATCAGGACGTAGCTCAAGATCTTTTAAGGTCTTGCTACAGCCTCTGGAAAACCAACTTATTGTATCCCAATAGGCAGATATCTTAAAACCCCAGAATGACTTCTCAGATTCATGTTGTGTCAGTGCAAATCAGCTGCTATAGTGAAGACATTCTCTGGAAACCCAGATGTGAAGCAAGTGTAATTATCAGGGCTCAGGGACACCAGGATATATAATGATTAAGGGATTATTGCAAAAGAAAGATAATACAAAGTCATAACACTGTTAAAAGTATAAATCAGCTATACAGGGAAGAGGTTGTTTCTATAAAAGAACTTACAGATGCAAGACAAGCAACTATGAGCTATACGAGCCTAGAATCTCAAAGGTTCAGAAAACACCCAGCTTTTCCTATATAACAATAATAAACAAGCTCTGGGATCAGATACATCTATCAATCTGCCTCCTGGCTGTAACAGAAAAGTAGGACTAGAAGTTAAAAAAAAAAATATCTGAAACATGTGGCTTATATTTCCTTGTAAAACCTTCTGCTAGAAGTACACTATAACCACCATCATTCCAATAAAGAAGTTTTCTATTCAGCAAAATATGTAATGAATCTTTTTGATCAAGTTCTCAGCAGACTAACAATTAATCTGTGATCACCGTGTACCTAAGCAAATAACATTACTTTATTCTGCAGCAAACATTATCACAGAACATAAAAGAAACTAGAAGTTCTGCCTCTAAAAATATAACTAGCTAAGTACATGTTACTAATAGGGCTTAGAACATCACAGTAAAGAGTCCTTAAACTAGAGGAGATCTCAGCTGAAGTACCACAAATATAAAACAATGACAGAAGCGTATGTGAACTTCTTCTGCAGTACTTGCTGAATTGCACAGTAGTCTTTTGCTTTTCTCTAATTTAATACATCAGGAAAAAGTTATGAAAAAAGAGGCAGGAATATCTGGCCTGATGACAGCAGGAAGCAAATTTTTTCTGAATGAGTTTGGAATCAATAATGAAAGTTTTCCTGCTGTCCACAGAAAACAGTACTTCATTGGAAGAGATGCTTTTAAGTATAAACGTACATTAATCAAGTTTAATAAATGCCTTTCAACCGAAACAAGACTAAGCCATTTACCATGCATGTGCTCACACACCTGTAACAGGGTCTTCCAGCACGCCATACCAAGGTGCAAAATATCTGGAGTAAAAATCATGGCCTTTGTCTTTTCCATTGGGCTTTCCCTTCAGAGTGAGTATGAGTCCTTTCACTTTCCCAGTTTTTTCAGCTGACAGAAAACGTTGTGCACCCACTTGTAGTTTTTCCAGCACAGACCTTGAATTTAATTACAGAATTTGAATATTCCATATTCTTCATTTAACATGAATTTAAGTTTGGAAAAGCATCAGAAAACCATGACATTGTCATCCCTGCACTCCCAAAACAGCCACAATAAAGTGTCGGGGTAGAAAGATCCCTAGCATTGTTCTCTCAAAATCATTTCATATGACTGCCCGGAACGTGTACTATACTCCTAGCAAGCAGAGGAAAAAAGATCAAACCATGCATTTCCTATCTACTTATGAAAACAGAGTGCCCAAGAATATAACCTCCAAAATGTATACTTTCATGTCAATCTTTTCATCCCTGAAAAAAGATATTTCATCATTACAGAATGCAAAAAATAAGCATTCCTACTTTCTGAATGAGCAAGCTTCTTCTATTACTCAGATCAGAGAATTCTAAAGCACTCTACAACTGGCTCAATTCTGTAAGTCATAGATACTTCCCTAAAAAATGAAATTTTGGAAAAGTAAAAATACTGAGTACTCTGCTAAGAATATTTCTTATTTGCCCATTAGCTCATTCTGTAGCCAGTAGTTAGGCCAAACTTCAACTAAAAACAATTGCAATTTAATCTAATTAAAGAATTCAGGTCTGGACAATGTATATACAAATTGTTCAGTATAACAATGAAATTCAGGTCTCGGAGATTAACAAATGCTGCGAAATGACTTGAATGGGAATTTCCTCTGTAAAGCTACTTATGATGCTCTAAAGTATGTGTAAGCAGATTAGTCAGCCATAGAGGCATAGGAACCCACAGCAGTCTGTCAGCACGTCCTGTCTCACTAAGTGCACCTGTACAGCTATGCAACTAATACTTCTTCAGCTGAGAACCAAGACCCCCAATTTCCTGTTCCACTTTTGACTCAGAAGATTGGCAAAAAGACACCATCACCAAAACTGTTTCCTAAGCTTCCCTTTCTTGAAGACAATTTTCCAACTAATCTTGTTTAGCTTTGCCAATTCCGTAAGCTCACAGGGAAGATTAAAGAATTATTTAACATGGGAGTTTAAATTTGTGCTTTCAATCTCCACCTCTTTCAAAAATAGATAAGTGAGCCATGTAAAGAACAGTGGTTATACAAAAAGACTCAGTTTCTGTACACTTGCTTCAAAAAAGTACCAGGTACCTTTCATAAGCATCGCTGAGACGGACCAGGAGTTTCTTTGTGTCAGGAGAATAACGGAGATCTTGAACAATCATGTCACCAGTGGCAGCCTGGTACAAAAAAAAAAGTTAAAGAAACAAAGAGAAACAGTGTCACTAAAAAATAAAATATTTACTTACAATCTTCCTACAACAACAAAATCCCTGCTAGAATAGGGCTTATGCAATGTCCTTCATGCCACCCTCCGGTACATACAAGCAAGAAAAGCAAATGCACTGTGTGCATGAATGGATACATGTAGGTGCTAAGAGCTCTGTGTATGTCAACCTGGAAAGAAATCCAGGGACTAAGAACAGGTCAAGGACACTAGATTGCCCTTACAAGCATACAGCAGGCCAAAAGTGCCCATGAAACATGACATCCTAGCCAGCAGAAGGCAAAGTTTAACTACAGCATATTGGAGAATTCCATCTCCTGAACTACAGGACTCGGAGTTCTCAGTTTTGTCAGCCTCTGTGCACAGTACCTCAAGCAATGTGAATTTACCACTTTCCAGCCATTCTAATATATAATTATAGCTCATTTAAATGCATTTCTAAGAGAATATCTCTCGTTGTATTTACCTTTATTAACTCTTCTACTTCCTGAAGTTCCTAAAGAAAAAAAAAGAAAACTGTAGAACATAGAGTACTTACATGTATATATCTACCCAAGTAAAAATAGGTAGATATGTATCCAAACACACATACAAGCAAATATATGCTTTCCTTGAAGGCCTTTTATGAACAAAACCCTGCCTAACCTGTGGGTAGGTTGAGTAAAGCGGTAAGTCCAGCACAATATGGTCTTTCTCTTGTCTTGTTTTCAGCTCCCCACTCAAAGTCACAAAAGTAAGAACTGAGTTTGGGTTTTCTAGAGAGAGAGAACATTGCAACAGTATCAAACATAACAGTATGTTCAAAAAGTTATGCAGCTAAAAATCTAATAACTTCAGTAAACTTGTATTGCAAGGCAAAATTCCCAAATGACATTTGCATATTCAGCACTGTTCTTTAGGAAGAGAGATAGTGGGGCATCAGAACCAGTGCAGACATCAGACTACAGCCTGACAGCAGTTGGTAAAAGAAAATACCTAAGGTATCTCCACACTTGTTCTCTAAATGTTCTGAAGACTTAATTGTACAAAAAGAGAAATTTTCTTAATTAGAAACATTTTTTATAACAAATACTAAAATAACAAATAGCTTGTAAGCCTACTTTTTATGTGAAATAAAACAGCAGCTGAGGCAAGTGTAGCATGACCACAGAGAGGAACTTCATTGGCTGGGGTGAACCATCGGAGTCCAAAGCGGGAACCTTAAAAATAAAGTTTGTTTTTAAGCGGAATTGTGTTTTCTTTTCCTTTTCAATTTATTTCTACATTTTCTATGGATTAATGGCACTTCAGTCAATCAAAACGCATGTTATAATCAGTCTGGGTCTCAAAGGCTCCTACAACTCTCTTTGTTCTGATTCTTGGAATACCTATTGCTTTTGAGACAACTGGGGTCTACTCCTAATAGAGAAAAGCTACTTTGTTGCAGGAGCAAAGAATCAATGCAGCAGTTTTGCTTAAAAGCGCAAAAACAAACCTTTAACCCTATGAGTGAAACAAGGCACGCCAAGGGTTTTGCTGGCATAGCAGAATCTATGCCACAGCTAAGTCAGTCATGAATTATTTTGCTTAAGCCACCAGTTGGTACTGATGAAAGACTAAAGTATGCTAAGCCTTCATTTTACTAAAAATCCTATTGCTATTAGTTGTTCAAAAAATAAAACCTAAGAACGAGTATGCTAACCGAAAATGAAACACCAGGCTATAGCCATGGCTGCAAGGCAAGCAGATTCAACAATCTGATTCAGCTGAAAACTAATCTACCAAGTGATTCTGGATGGGCTCTAGCAGCAATTTCAGGCTTCTTGGTTTTGCTAGAAACCTGTATGTTCCAGTACCACCTCCACAGAACCTCCGAGACTTTGTGACAATCTCCAGTAAGTGATGATTTCCTAAACAGCCAAGCCAGATTCCCTTTGCAGTCCTTCAAATACAAAATAAGCTTTGTGTCTCTCTTCTCCTGGTTGTACAAGAGAATTATCTCAGGAGATAATTAGCAGGAATAGAAGTATTAACAGAAGGACCTTTGCATAGCACTTTCAGGAGACTTTCTGTACACAAACTGCTTATTTTGCAAAAGGCACTAAAACAAATGATTGGATTTATGAATAGTGTTTGTGTACTGTAAAACGAATTGGAAAAGCTGAACAAATGAATCTATGTGCAAAAGGCTTAATAATATTATTAAAAGATGCATAACAACTCTGCAACTTTGCTTTTGCCATCTTATACATTAGCATCATTCTTTATAAATGCACCCATAGTTTTTTCCTGCTTTTTCTAAGAGACTGCAGGGTAAACAGAGCCACTCACTTTTGGTAAAGTCATCCGTAGGGTGCAGTTTTTTAATGAAGGCAGTTTCTGAGAGGTTCATTTCTGTCGCAATTCTTTGGTGCAAATCTTCATCCAAGTCCTAACAATGAGATGACAAACCCATTTAAAGGCAACCGATAAAAAAACAGAATCAAACTATCTTTCAAATCAATTCAGTCATCTCACTTTTCTGTGATAATAAAACAGATTTATTTTTAGTTCAAAATATTTTGAGGAAAAAAATACAAAAAAACCTTGCAGCATAAAATAGGCTAAATATTTAAATCATTGTGGTATGTGGGCATTACCCACATCTCGTCTGTAAGCCCACAGATCCTTGAACAACATGGGGGATAGTTAAAAAATGCTAAAGTCAGTCATTCCAGAAGGACATATCTTTCATTTTGATTAAAGGCACAACAAGAAGTCATTGCTAACAACCTAAAAATAGCTACAGCTCTCCTTTTTACTTCTGAGAAACCCACGTTAGCAGGGGGAATGTCGCAACGGCCAGGGCAATAACTATGGCAGTTTATCAGCACTTACTGCTGTACCCTCAACATTACTCCTTGAGCAACAGGAACAATGTGCTAAGTCAGTAAAAGTTGGAATGAGAAACTGAACTGAAGGAAGAAACATGCTGGAGCTCACTGCACGATTGAAGGGCACACGAGGTATAGCAACAGTGTAGGCTGTTACTTCACTCTCATTCCTTTCCCCACCATCACACAGACCAGCCAGGTTCAAGGGTCTGATCTATTAAAAACTAACATACAAATGAAAATGTACTAAGTGGACCTGGCCAAGTTCAACCTTGGACAGATCGAACTTTGCCCTGCTAACTTGACTTTTTCCCCTTAATAACCTTAATTCTTTGAACCAGGGATCCCATGCTATTGATACAGAACAGTTAGTGATAGGCATAGCAGACCGATCCTTCCACGGTGAAACCTATATGATGAGACAACACTCCGACCTTTCACAGCCTTTGCTTTAACCCAGGAAATTAGCACTTGCTACAGAAATACCAAATTAGAACAAAGACCAGCCAACATTTTGCTGAAAATAATAGAATTTTACTGGTATTTTATAGTATTTTTATTGAAATACTGCCATCATGTGGCACTTCTGAACCTCGGCAGGGGCTTGTATCATCGCTCCTGTACTCCAGTTTTTAAAAAGCAGCTGTGAGGCTTGGAAAGGAACAGAGAACAGAAGCAGCGCAAGGTGCTCCATATGTTCTTGGAGCTCAGAATAAAATTAATTAGAACTTCAGCTTTAATGACCCTGAAGCCTCTAGCCTGCAGAGGAAATGTTAAAACCTCGACATGCCATAAGCAACATGTAAGTCACCTTCTGATCATATTAACATAATAAGTTTATAAGTTTAAGGTAAGTGCATTTGGAGAGGGGGGTGCTTTGATTTTAGATAGCCGAAAACAGCTCTGAAGTGAGATGTTCTGTGCCAACTTGGCTGTCTTGGTAAGCGTGCTACACTGCATGAGGTCTGTGGGGGTTCGGGAAGAGCTGGGCAGGATTCAGATGGCCAAGGTGAACCACTAACAGGCTGCTCCATTTACCTTCCCATTCCTAACGCTTTCATCAAGTGATGCCACACAAATAAGACAAGGCGCGTACGTTTCTAATCCGGCCTAACAGCTGGTTCTGGGGAGCGCCGAACCAATCGGCACCACCTGCTCAGAACACCTGCACGAGAATGACGGCACCGCAAGCGCCGTGCAGCCTGCAGCAACACCTGCCTGGCACGGGGACACAAAGCGACTCGGACACAGGGCTGTACGTGTCTCTCTTCTCTTCCACAGGAAACAAACAGAAAAACCCACCTCATGGAAAGGAAAAAGGTAACAAGGGCTAACCCGCCCCGCCCGGGGCAGCAGCCCAGGGCAACCTCGCCACAACGGCAGCCACCGCTGCAGCCCTTCAATAAAGATCCGTCCGTTTCTTCTGTAGACTTACATTTTCGAGCAGACAAACTGCCGCGGGGTTTCCGCTAAACGGCCGGTTTGCAAAGGCATCAACCGTGAACACGGGGACCTGCATCGCCGCGGCGCTGCCGGCCTTCGCCCGCTGCTCCCTATCGCTCCCTGCCCGCAGCGCGGCGCCGTTTATGCGGCCCGGCGGCAGGAGGAGCCGCTCGTCACTTCCGAGCTCCTCCCGCGGCCCGCCGCCGGCTCTGCGCGCGCCTCCCCGCTCCTCGGTGCCTCAGCGGGCCTTTCCGCCGCCTCGCCCCAAGGCGATTCCGCAGGCGGGAGCCGGTGAGGTTCCCCAGGCCGACGTTAACCTCGCGCGGCTTTGCCGCAGCTGTAACACTGAGGGGAAGCGAGCAGCCGGGCTTTCCCATCTCCTTTCCCAAGCCGACTCTGGGAGCTGAAGCGAGCAGCGCCCGACGGGCCGCGGGCAGCTGCGCGCGTGTGGGGCACCGCCTGCGTGAGGAGACTGGCGGACACCCGCTGCGGGTTTCGCTACGAGCGCTCGCTGCTGGCGGCACGAGGCGAGGCTCGCGCTGCCGCCAGCCGCACGGCTCGGCGCCAAGAGCGCGCGAACGCAGCGCGCGTGCGCCAGGTGACGCCCAGCCGCGCTCGTGAGACGAGGGGAGGCGCCGTTCGCTCGCCGCGCGTGCGCCGCTGGCTCTTGTTACCAGAGGCGCGCATGCTCCGCCGCCGTCCGGGAGGGCCGAGGTGTGCGGCGCCGCTATCGCGATAGTCGCGCGGTCGGGACGCCATCCTGCTAGCGGCGGTTGCGTAGGCTCCTGCCCGCCGGTCGCTCGGAAGCGAGGGGCTTCCTTCCCGGCAGCAGCTCCCCCTGGGACGCGTCGAGCAGCGCGCGAAGATCTCCCGGTGAGCGCGGGGGGAGGAAGGCGGAGAGGGGGCCGCCGGGCCGCGTTGAGCCCCTCCGGGCCGCTTGCGGGGTGGGCGCGGAGGCGGCCCGGGGCCGGCCCGGCACTGCGCGGCGCGGCGCGGCCCATGGGGGGGCGGCATGGCGCCGCGGGTGGGGGAAGGGCGGTGCGGCGCGGCTCGCGGAGCCTCGCTCCCGACCGGCCGCCATTTTGAGAGCCGTCGCCGAACGCGGCCGCTGACCCGACGAGCCTCGGCGGCGTAGCGCTGTCCGCGCCCCGAAGCCGGGGCTGGGCGGGAGGGAGCTCGGCGGTCGTTCCGAAGCGGAGAGGTGGCGGTGGGGCGCGTGGCGGGGGCAGCGGCGGCGGCGGTCGGGGGTGGGGGGGCGGCTCGGGGAGGCGCGGTAAATGGCGGCGGCGCGGGGCGGGAGGGAGCGCCACCGCCCCCCATCCGAGACGGGCCGCGCGGCCGCGTTGGTTCGGGATTAACGGCCGTGGTTCCGGAAGGGGAGAAGGAGCGGGAGCGCGGCCGGCCGGGCCGCGATGGCAGACAAAGGAGAGGCGGCGCTGCGCGGTTGCGGCCCCTCTGCCGGCACGCTGCGAGAGACAAAAGGTTACGGGCCGGGAGCGCGCCGAGCGCCGGTGCGCGCCGCTGTGCCCGCGCTGCTGCCCTGCCCGCGTCCACGTGCTTCTGTACGAGCGAGTGAAATTGCGGTATCTCCAGGGAATGGAACGAAATATCCACAGTGCTGCTGAAAGCTGCGGTGTTAATGAAAACCTACCCGATTTGTTGTGTTTTTGTGTCTCAACGTTTTATTTTTTTTCTTTCTGGTAGCGTTTGATTTAGACAAAAATGGACTGGAGTGGAAAGCACAACGGGCCCACCGATACAACCAACGATGGGACGGTGGTGCGGCTCCGAGGGCTGCCCTTCGGCTGTAGCAAGGAAGAGATCGTTCAGTTTTTCCAAGGTATCTCTAGTATAGTCAAAGCATAAAGACCGTGTGAAAGATAAGTCGATGCTTTGCAAGCCTGTAACTTGTAATGCCCGTTAGTGGGGTGGAGGGGGGATCGCTTTGATGTAAATTGCCTTGAGTAAGGTGTATGCCCTGTTCAAATAACTGTAGATGTAGCAAAGTTGAATACATGTCTTAATTTAGCAAAGGTGGTGAATGTCTTATGATTATAACCTGTACGTTAGCGTTTGGAGCGGTTAAATTGATTGGTAGCTTTGTTTTCTTCATGTAACCTAGGTGGGTGTATGTTCGCGTAGTTAAAACAAAAAACAAGTATGGCTAAATCCATAAATGTTTAATGAAAGATCGTTGGCTTGTATTGTTGGGTGATGGGGGAACTTAAGAGCTTTTTTTCGTTGTTATTGTTTAGATGCTTTAAGTATTTTCTACAGATGGGAATGTTTCAGCCTTTAACACTGTTCCCCTTGATGGGGTTATTTGTCCTTGGGTTAAAGGGTTGGAAATCGTGCCAAATGGGATAACATTGACGCTGGACTACCAGGGGAGAAGCACAGGGGAGGCCTTCGTGCAGTTTGCTTCAAAGGAGATAGCAGAAAATGCTCTGGGGAAACACAAGGAAAGAATAGGGCACAGGTGGGGATGGAGAGTTTGGGATGGTGTTAAATGGTTATTTTTGGGGGTTGTGGGACAGTAATGCTTTTGGGGGGCTGGGGACTATTATATGGAATGGGGTATTTTAAAGAATTTTTATAACTGATCCTAAATTAACTTGGGAAATATGGTAGATTTGGGGGGCGGGGGAGACAGTATTACTCTGTGTAGATTGCTAAACTTAGAATGTTGTTTCAGTCGTTTTTCGTGTAGGGTAATTTGTGATAAGTGCTGCCATAGCCAGACATTGTTTTTCAACAGTATGTTTCTCATACTGGAAAGACATGTTTTATACTTAATTTCTACAACTAGAATTTTCATGTTGTAATTTTTGCCATTGTAAAATTTTACTTTGATACAATTAAGATTCTTAACGGTTTTGAGGAGGAACTTAAGTTCTGTGGTATCTGTAGTCATTTTTATCACATTGTACATTTAGTTATTTTTCTACTGTGCAGACAGCTTATACGTGTATTCTTATTTCTACCTTGAAAATCCTCTCTTATTTAGATACATTGAAATCTTCAAAAGTAGTAAGAGTGAAATCAGAGGATTCTCTGACATGCCGAGAAGAATGATGGGACAACAACGACCTGGACCATATGATAGACCATTAGGAGGAAGAGGGGGTTATTATGGAGCTGGGCGTGGAAGTATGTATGACAGAATGCGTCGAGGAGGTGGTGGATATGACGGTGGTATGTTTATCTAATGATAGAGGTTCTGTTGTCAGTTTCATGTTTCTGACGTCTTTGTCAAGAAATAAAGAAATGGCAGTAGCTTCCTGTTAGGTTTGACATGCTTCTTCAAAAAGAATTTTTTTACTTGTAATGTGTGGGGGAAGAAAAAATGCAGCTTAGTATTTAAGACTAATGGATGTTACTAGAAAACTGTATATTCAGTAGAATTGGATATTTCAGTTCTTGGATCCATCAGTTCAGAAATGAGTTTTTAACACTTTGCAGTGGCACTTCCAGGTGCCCAAAGACTGAAAAATTGACTCTTGTGTATCACTTTGTAATTTCTCAATAGTAACGTAATTGCTCTTTTCTTTCTGTCAATTATATAGGATATGGTGGCTTTGATGATTATGGTGGTTATAATAACTATGGCTATGGAAATGATGGCTATGATGACCGAATGAGAGATGGGAGAGGTAAAAATACATATATATATATATTTTTTTTTAAAATAGTAAAACAATATTCCCAAGGCATACATTGTTTTGTTTTTATTTTCTTCATTGAATTATTTTGTAAAGGAAGATGATTGGGGTTTTGTTGTTGTTTTTTTTTGTTGTTGTTGTTGTTGAGGTGGGGGTGCTTTTCTTTTTATAATTTATTTTTTTAAAAAAAAGTGTGTGTATGTTGTCTTTCACTTATCTTTCTTTCCTAGGCATGGGAGGACATGGCTATGGAGCTGGAGATGCAGGTTCAGGTTTCCATGGTGGCGGTCATTTTGTTCACATGAGAGGACTGCCTTTCCGAGCAACAGAAAATGATATTGCGAATGTAAGTAAAACAGCAAAATCAGGCTTTCTAATACCAAGAATTTCTGTGTTCTTTTCTTCCCTATTCCAAACTTGCTTATGGCTCTCCATTGATAGCTCTAATACTTATTAACTGAAGTCTTAAGCTACTTATGCAGGTTCTACAATACTTAATTCATACTAAGTGAGGTTTTTAAAGGTAATGTGTATGGTAAGGTTACTGAAGAAGCCAGCTGAATTACATTTAACCCCTGTATGCTTTTTCATTTCCAGAAAAAAGAGACAGATGTTGAAATCTGTATCTTCATAAGACTCAAGTTTAAGCTTAACTGAAGATATTAATGTTATTTAGTAGAAGACTGATAGTAGATGTGATTATGGTTTGCACATTTGTATGTTGCCGTGAACCTTGTTTTAGGAAGACAAAGTGAGAAACCTGTAGGGCGCTGTGTTTGTTTGGAGCGGAAGGCTCACGTTTACCCATGAGAGTTCAAATAAAGGACTTGTAGAGAATTTCAGGAATAATGCACCACTGTATCCTTCTAATAACCGCTGTAGGAAGGAAGAGAAATGGACAGCTTTTTCTTCCCTTTTCAGGGCGGCATCATAGTAGAGCATGTTTCTTAAAGAGAGGTGTGTAGACAAGTATTTTTGTTTGCATCTCTGTTTTACAGAGAGCTCCTTAAGCTCTGCAGTTCTTCCATTTGTATGATAGAAGCCTCTAAGTAATACCTTAGAAACAAGTAATTAAATTTGTGTGACAGGATGAGAGAAAATTAATACAGTGCTTCACAAACTACTGGGACACCAGAAGACATACCTGGCTTGAAGTCTAAATTCATTTGATCTTTTTCTCTTTGTTTTTATTCTTAGTTCTTCTCACCATTGAATCCTATAAGAGTTCACATCGATATTGGGGCAGATGGAAGAGCCACAGGCGAGGCAGATGTGGAATTTGTAACACATGAGGATGCGGTAGCTGCTATGTCCAAGGATAAAAATCACATGCGTGAGTGCTGTGTTCAAATAAGAATTTAATCAACTTGATTCCTGTAGGGAGTAAATCAGTACGAGGATTCAAACTGAAGTTACAGTGCTTTAAATATAATACTGATAATGGACTTCTTGTTGCTGATCAGAACAAGTAGATTATCTCAAACTGATTTCTTGTGGATTTTCAACTATTGTATGCAGGGTAAATATTTTTTTTTACTGTGTTTTTTGAATCAAAATACAAAGTAGATTTTATTTCCTACAGAGCATCGATACATTGAGCTGTTTCTGAATTCAACTGCTGGAGGTGGCTCTGGAATGGGAGGCTATGGCAGAGATGGAATGGGTATGCATCACTTCCACATATAGCTTGTTTTGCAAAATGTGATGGAGTTGCAAGGTTATAAGAGTGCACCTTCTGCTTTTCAGATCAAGGTTATGGCTCTGTTGGTAGAATGGGAATGGGTAATAATTACAGCGGTGGTTATGGAACTCCTGATGGCTTGGGTGGCTACAGTAAGTACATATTTCTGTCTTAATTTTATGATTGTGTTACTGTGTCTGTTCATATGGGATTTGGAAGGGTGGGTTTTGTGGACTGGGAGAAAAGGAAGGGGGTGGCTTAAATTATAAATCACTGGGGCATTTTTTCATAATTTGGCTATTGCACCAAATGTTTTTTCTAGAAAAATAGTGCTAAAGTATTGTTCTAGTATATCTTAAGCTGATGCTGAACAGTTTTTTATTACCCATCACGTTTTTTTCTCTTTTTAAGGTATGTATACGTGACCTTGTGTCAATTGTTTGCAGGTCGTGGCAGTGGAAATAGTGGAGGATACTATGGGCAAGGCAATATGGGTGGAGGAGGATGGCGTGGGATGTATTGAAGGATAGCCTTGCTTCTACAAAATACCCTGGAAGAAACAACAGTCTCTGGTCTACTAGACTTTCTTACAAATTTTAATTTCTTTTGTATTTTAAGAACTTTATAATGACTGAAGGAATGTGTTTTCACAATATTATTTGGTAAGCAAGAGCTTGTGATGGGAAAATCTGTTTTCTGTAGGTTTTATTTGTTGCATACTCTGACTTTAAATAAATTTTTATATTCAAACCACTGATGTTGATACTTTTTATACTAGTTACTCCTAAGGATGTATTACATATTCAAGAATACAATTGGTTTGAGATGTTGTACTATGGTTCAATAAAGGTGGTTGTACTGTAACTCCTATGAACACTGAGTTCTATGTACTCTTGGTGTAGTAAGTGAGTTTGATAAATTTTTTTGTTTAAGGGGAAAAGGGTAGATGAGTAGTTAAGCTTACTTGGTAGCAAATCCTTCCTAAATCTTTTTGATAAGTTGTATGTAATAATTTCTCAACATAGCATTAAGCTCAAGCTGTGGAGAAGTCATAGATCTGGCTTTCTTCCCTGTAATATCAGTGTCAGCTATGCTCTTCAAATGGCGTGATTGCACAAATGCATACTTCCCAAGTTCTGTCATCCACACCACCAGGCTACAACTGTTTGCTTCCATGCTTTGCTGTAGAACTCTTAGATATTCATTACACACGTTTAACTTGCAGTGCTGTTGCTAATCAAATACTAGCAAAACAGTCAAATACTAGCAAGTTGAAGGTACTTTTGCCTTTTTTCTTCACAAACTGCTTTGGAAGACAATTATTTGAAGCAAGCTAGAATTTTCCCAACACTTGCTTCAACACCATTGAGCTTTTTTTTTTCCCTGCACATAGCTGATTTGTCTGTATTTGTTTAAAACATGGCAACCATTATATGAGTTTGTTAGAAGCCAGGTATCTCTGAAAACAATATTTGTTAAGTGACACAACCCCTACCACATTGGAAAAAAAAGTTTTTGTGCATTTGTGACATGTAAGATGTGTAAGAAAAATTGTTTGAAGACACTTAACATACCTGATGTGTAATAAGGTATTTATTCTTCTGAGCCAGTGTGATCTCCCAAATTAACTGCTTTGTCCTCAGCGCCTCCCTTAAAATGTCGAATGTGATCTTGGGTATTGAAAGTCTGTCACCTGTTTTGCTAGTACTGTGTTATATATGTAATAAATGTCTTGCTCTGGGAGATAGTAGAATGGAGTTTATTTCACTAGAGAGTGCGTGCTTGTGTCAACGTTATTGGAAGTAATAGCAGCAGGGCTCATCTGCAATAGGAAATAATCCAAATACTGAAGTATGGGGCAGAGTAATGGGAGGAACAACGACTTGAAGTCAGCGTAGCAGTGATGGTGCAGGACTCTGTTGTAAGTTGGAGCTTGCAGTAAGTAGTGCATTCTTAGTTGGTGAGGGTTGTATGTCTTGTAAAACTGAGATAACTAAGGGTGGGATAAAAATTAATCCAGGGGCAGGAAAAAATAGCATTCAGTGAGGCAGAGTACCTCTACATCTGACAGATTTCTCTGTCAGCTATCTAAATAGGTATCATAGCTCTATTTCCTCAAGTATACTTTGCATTCTGTTTTCTGAGAAAGAACACTCGCTATTGATTTAAGACTGACATACCTGAGAACAAAGTAGTCGCACTTCAAGCTATTTGGCATCACCAAGCAAGTTAACCAGAAGTCATTCTGAATCTGACTCTTGAATAATACAGTTCTGTTCTGGAGAGTGAATGTCTTATGCTTGTCCAATCCCTATTTACACATCATCCTGTAACGAGAGCAGTGTACAGTACAGACCATTTCAAGGAACTTCTCTGAGAAGAAAAAAAAATTTTTGAAGTTCATATTTGTTGTATGTAAAGCTGAAATACTTGCTGCAAAGTATAGTTCTTTTAAAGTGGTTGGTTATCCACTGAGAAGTACTGACTGGTTCCTGCAATCTCTTGTGTGATGAATGCAGGCCATCAGATGGACCTCCTTCTCTGACAGTGAAGGAAAATCCAAGTATGTTAACCACCTTTGCAAGAAGGTGAGACAGCCAGTATAATCAGTGGGGGAAGGGGGAGGGGAGGAGAAGCATATTTTCTATTTGTTAATGCCCTTATATAGTTAAGTTAGTTAGAAGGAAATTACCTCCCCCCCCCAAAAAAAAAAATAGGTTGCTCTGATAGGAACAATTACAATTTCCTTTGAGGTATGCATTAGGTACACCACATACCTTCATGTACTTGGTTCAAGGAATATTATTTAGAATCACAAGATAATCTGTCACAGAACAAAGTTTTATAGAAAGACAAAATCATTACATTATTAATGGAGTAACGGTAGTGTGGTCCAAAAACCTGCTGAAAGTGAGCCAGATACACAGTTCGATGTCAAAGGAAACCTGGATGCCACCTGGAACAGTGTACAGCATTCTTTAGTTCAAGGCAGCAATTTCTCTCAACATAAAAGCAGTCTAAGTAGGCTATGTACCATTCAGTAACATTTTTCCACGTAAACAGAGGAATGGAAGAGTTCATAGTTAGGCAGTAGGTAATTGATTGCATCTGTATATTACAAAAGTTTCAGCACTGGCAGTAACTGCACTGTATTCTTATTTTAAACTATTGCCTATTTAAAATTAATTTGTCCAGTCGCATAATTTTTGAAAAGATACTGAAGCAGGACTGACAAGCATGTTCTATATCCTACATCAAACAGTTTGCCTTCATACTGGGCCCACAAAAAAAAGAAAAAAACACTTCAAAACACTCAGATCGAAGTACCTTAATGAAGCAAGCAAGCAGCACTTCGTTATATAATTAGCAGGGCAGCTCCCCCATTGCCCAACAAAGGCAGAGACTCTTTAAGCAACGTGAGCAAGTCAACAAAACATTCAAAGTACTCTGCAATGCAAATTTAAATAAAGCCACATTACTCCCATCATCACATTGAAGATCAATTAAATTTATTTTTTTCTAAAAGCTATTTACACATTTACAAACATTTGTATTTTACAAAAGAAGTTATACTAGCTACTTTTAAAAACATTTTTCTTTACAAAAGCTACATAAGCAACTACACTGACGTGTCAAAAAGAACAGTTAGTTAGCTCTTGGAATATTAGCTAAATACCTATCCTCAAAAGACAGCTAAGCTAAACAAAGTGCAAGAATGACTAAAAGAAAGACCTGTTTCCAAGCTGCCGTGCTCCTGTCAGTAGGAATTCCAGGCCCATAAATGAACTACAGAGCTGATAACTGCCAACAGCTCACCAGTACTGACCAGAGTGTGGAGATTCCGTGGCTGGACCCATTCACATGAAGGGCTGAAGGGCAGAGGGCAGGTTGATTCTAGAGCAGTGACACGACAGCGAGGCTGCTGCTAAATACAACCCATCAAAGGCTGTATTTTTATTTGGCTACTAGAAGAATTGAAATGTACATTCCAGCAGAAGTTACCATGGAACACCAACATAAACAGTGGTGGGATGTGTCAGACCTAGCAGAACTCAAAAGCTCTCTGGAAAAAAAGAAAATATTTAGGAACAAACTGACCTTTGAGAAATAAGATAACAAAAAGACAAACCTTCTGGTCCAACACAAGCACCACAGAAAGGACGTGGTCCACAGCTTTTAGTGTCTCCTGGCAGCAGGCTGATGCTGCCTCTAGAGCTAAGCATGATTTTCCTGAAGATAATACGAAGACACTTCCTTGAGGCTACAGACAACATAAGGCATAAAAAAATTGGATGGACATGACAACACTCATAAGGTCAAATTAATAGCTAATTTTACAAAATAATTTGGCAAAATGCACCCCCTTTCTCCCAGTGCCTAAAGACACCGTTTCTCACCTATCTGACACCATCTCCCTCTACTCCTCTGACTATAGAATTGTCAGTGCAATATTCTTGGATGTATCAAATCTTAATAACTGAGAGGAAGCAAATGACTAAGGTATTTGGCAATAATTTACTGGGCCACCTCCATTAATTTACTTCCTTACTTCAAAGTACAGTTAAAAACCATTACTTCCATTTTGCTTCACAGCAGCATACTACAGGCAAATTCTGCATTACAATTCAGTTGGACTAGCCTGTAAAATCAGATAAATAAATCACCCTCTCAAGATCATTATGACTGGAATACCAATTAACACTGAATCTCCTCTATAAACTGCCCTTCCTTCCTCCAGAAGAGCTTCCAAGTCATTTGTTAGACTAATACTGCAATCTGTAATTTTAACATGTTCATTTTTAAGACATGCATTTTGTGGTTTTGCGTCCCATCCTCTCTATTTGTATCAACAGAAATAGTGCTGTACATTCTGCAGCTGTTCTTTGTTTGTTTTGTTTTACAGAATTAGCTAAATACGCAGGGTAATAAATAACTTGTAAAATAATCTTATGGCACATTAGAAGAACACCTCTGTATAAGTATTGCATGGCAGGAATCACAGACGCGAACAGGCTTTGGTGAGGAAGGCAGAGGCAGTTCATTGTCGGAACAAGCATTACAGAAGATCTCACCACAGTTTCTACAATGGTGCTAAATAACAGGGAGAAAAGCAGAAAAAAAAATCACAAAAATTAAAAATATACAGTGGAAATACACTTGGTAATCGGATATCAATAAATCACACAGAGAGAACAATCTGAATGTGTGATTCCTTCCAATTGTTCGGTCTGAGCATGGAACCAGTTTTCAAGAGATAATTCATCTAAATCTAAATTTATGGTGCAATCCTAGACAGACCAAACATATAAGCTTTGAATCCCTAGAATAAGACAAACTAACATGCTTTGCCAATTAAGAATATAAACAATGACAATGGATGAGAGCCTGTCAAGCAGCTCTTAAAATTTTATGTAAAAAGTAGGTGAAATAAAAATTTCTGCATATGTTAATAAAGCTTAACAATTAACACTGCTTTAAAGCCCCAATAGGCTCATTATTTCTTAAGACTAATATATATATATTTTAAAAATGTACTAAGGCTTCCATGTGTCAAATTTTAATAGCGCAACTGCTGCCAAGTACATGAGACAATGATTCCACAAGATTGGCTGAAGAAGTTTAAGTACGGTCCTCCACAGCACTGCACTAAACAAGCAACATTTCTTTTGAAAGTAGGGCCCAGCTGTGCTGCGCAAATCGAAGAACATCTCAAAAAATATCTACACATTCATCTGAAGGTTGACATTTCATGCTGATCTCATCTCTAAGACAACTGACATATTTCTCATACTATGCATAAATGAGTTGGAAGAAATTTCATTTGAGTTTTACCTTCCTTTTGGAAAGTGAGAATTCCTTTTCACATAACTTGCAATGTGTAGCCTCTTTGTCCTTCAACCAAACCTGCCCCTGGAGGAAAAAAAAGTGACCATAAATACGTGTATGGTCACAGGTAAACTTTGGGTTCAAAAGGACAAAACAAATCAATAGGAGTAATTTTTACTGCCTGAATTGCTGAATGTCCTGAGACCACTACAATGTCACATAGACACTCTGAGGCAGTACAAGCTTGCTCCAAAGCACTGATAACAGTGGGAATAGGTACAAAGAAGACATGCTGGAGGCACTAAAGATTGTCTATGGCAGAGCTGGGAAAAGCAGTAAGCTATCCAAGTCTCAAAGCTGAAACCTATTTCTCTACTCAATGAAGGAATATGTGAGGTCACACATCTCATGATCAAACACATGCCAACACAACCTCTGCTCTCAAGATGCACAATCCTCAAGTTCCCAGCCTTTCAGCAGTACAGTTCATATCTTCATAGACTTCTGGATGATCAAATATTTATTTATCATTAACAAATATACTATACATTCTGTAAAATAACAAGGGTGTACCTTTGCAATAAAATTCAGCAAAATGTGTAACTTATAGCAAACAATAAAAATAAAACAACTGAGTATTTTCTTTTGCTGAGTCTACAAAGAATCTGTGCTTCTCTCCCATCGGAGAATATCATAAAATGAGTCTCTTCTGAATAGCTGCTGCTGAAGAAGGGTCTTCTCACACTTGCAAAGCATTTCAAAGGGACAGTAAACACAAACATTTCTCTTTCCTCCAAATCCTACCAACCTGCAACGCTTTGTTTGCCTCTTTTATATCTTCTATTTTCAGCTTGGATCTAAAAAAATAAGATAATATTTCAAACTGTTATATTTTCACTTGCGGTCTAAAAACATTACAAGGCTTAGGTATTTAAAAATTAAGTGATGCATTCTGAACTTAGTGTTTTACATTACAGCAGCATCTAGGAGATGTACTAAGTACTACACAAAGACAGGCTCTGCACTAAGAGCTAAGAATCCTCTGAATGGCTGCAGGTATGTTTGAGGTTATGCTGTTAAGGGCACCAGACAAGCACACAGCATTGGTACAAAACAGGAATTCAAACTTCTGGACTGTCTTGCCGGGGAAATCAGTTTTCCCACAGCCAACCAATGCCAACCCACTCAGTACTGTCTGAACTACAGCATATATACTGTTAGTTTACAGGGCATAAAAGCCCACACTAGTCATGGCAAAGCAATTTAGAAAGCACATCCTTAAATGAAGCAGAGAGATATGGAGAGTAACAATTACTGTGCTCACAGCTTATTGCTCACCACAGTCTGAGTAGGTTTTGATAAGGTAATCTTTCACATAGCCTGAAGACATCGCAATAAACAATGGTCTAAGAGAATCTTCATCCCATCAAAGAAAGGAATCCATGAGCATGCAACCTCATAAAAAGATAAGTACTATCTTGCTGAAGTATAAGCTGTTATCTCCTACTTGGATTATTCTTTAGCAAACCAAGACATGCAAACTAGTCAACAACTTTCAATGCAAAAACACCTACTAATGTCCTGCAGGTCCTAAGATCTAGCTAAGATTTTCTTTCCAGAACACTATAATTGCATATGAGGTCAAGGTCACAAACCAAAGAGAAAAATCAACACATTTCACCTAATTAGAATTATTTTCTATTGATAAGTGGCTTGGTAATATTGCTTTATACACAGTAGTTTGCATGACTGCCATCCTATTCTTTTTCTTAATTCGTATTTATAAGACAAATATAATATCAGGAATAATGAAATTACTCGCTCAGCTTGGATGCCAGTTCTTGGAGAGCAGCTTCTTGGTCCTGACATATCCTTTTCAGTTGCCTGTTCTTTTCCTGAAGTTTAATAAACTCCTTTAAAAAACAAAACAAAACAAAAACACAGATATATATATACAGATACACATACAACTAATATGCCTAGAAAACTGGTCCTAACCAAAGCTGATCTTACTGAGAAAGCCAAGCGAATGGATGACTCATCAGCCCCACTATAAAGATTTCCAAATTGAATTCAAGCAGCAACACTCAAGATCACAGTCTCTTAGGCCCTAAGAGATGACACCTACTTGCTTCTTCAGAAATCAAATACAATTCATTGCAGTCATCAACAGCACTATGTAGCCATGTACACAAGTTAGAGAGAACCTGAAGCAATTTCTGGCCTATCATGAGAGGACAGTCTTCAATAAAACTAAGAAAAATAAGGATTCTGGTTTTCTTTAGCCAAAAGACAGAGTTCTGATTTGAAGAAGAAATGAGTAAAAAGAGAAACAATGTTTTCAATCTTTTTTCATATCTACTTGTGAGAATACATTAATCTAATCTTTCTTATCTGGTTGCAGAAATTCTTAGAAGTCCCACGTCTAAGTTCACAATTAACTTTTCAGTCAATTTCCAAGTTACTGTTCAAGTTTTATTGCAGACTTTACTTTTTTCAGGTTAATTATTTCTTGGGTCTCTATTCGCAGATGAGATACAGTTTCCTTTTCCTTTTGAAGATCATCCTCCAGAGTTTGCCGCCACTCCTTTTCTATCTTCAAATCTGTTTCCAGCTGGAGCCTAAAATATGCAAAACAAAGAACACAATCACTGTGCAAAACAGTATCGCTTTTAAAAATAATAAAAAGGAGATTATTTCTGGATGCAATATATTGTTGCCACAAACAGCCGCTCAGCTGATGTGTTTTTTAAAACAGAAACAATGCAGCAATGTTGTAACATTTCAGACATCATAATAGGTAAAATGCTACCACTTAGAGAGTGCTTTTGAAAAGAAACGCATTTAAAAGGATCAAGATTGTGGCAGCATTTTGAGAACATGACCTTAGTAAGCAAGAGAAGATTAACCACAACATTCTAAGGTGTTTTTAATATGTGAATGAAAGGAAGCCCTCCCCTTAACTCTGCCTAGTTTGTTTCTAAGCAACCACACTGCCACTGATGACACAAAGAAGGACTGCATGCATCCCTGGTGCTCATAAAAGTTATTTAATATTGTATCTTCAGGTGTTACATCTTTTTGTTTAGACAAAGGCTCACGGAAATTTGAACAGAATCGAAGATAAAGAAGGAAAGACTTTAAAGTGCTATTTTTAATTGAGCTTCCTACATCGCTGAGGTTCAACATGAAGAGGGATCCAAACCCTATTAGTTTAACCAAAGTCCACTCACTGGCACTAGGGTTATTCTGATGCAAAATCACTCTAGCTGGAATTACACGATCATGGAAGAGCTGGTGTTTACAGTGTTACAGAGCAAACAGGACGGAAGCACACTGCTCAGCCTTCAACTTCTAAATCTTGACAAAACAACACAAAAGGAAAAAAAACCTGAGAGTTGTCATGCAAGGTTTTTTTTTGATGGAAAAACCTGTAACCACATTAATTTTCCTGTTTGTTGTTTTTTAAAATCAGAATCATGTTTAAATGAAAGACTTACATTCGGGACACTACCTCAGCATCTGGTTGGGAAAGATCAGAAGTGAACATGACCTTGAGGTTTCAGAATTGCAGAATTCTAAGGTTGGGGTCTGAACTGTTCTTTTGCCAAAATCTGCAAAGATGACTGCAGTAGTAAAGTGAACATTTGTCACGACAGTTAAACAAGTTTACTGACATTCAGAGTTGTAAGAGAGGCAGGATAGGTTAGTAATCAGATTGGAAATCACTATCTTTTAAGCTCCAATCTTTGTGTCACAGATTTGCCCAGTCTTCAATAACACAGCTGTTTTCTCCCAACAGGCTAAACACCTGCCCCTCTGCAGGGAGGTTTTTTACACTAGGTACTTATTTAGATCACTAATGAAGAATTTAACAAGAGGAAGGGAGGGGGTTGGCTTTTATGTTACATTTTATTATTTATAATTCCTGTGGATTAATTTTTTCTGCAGTGGCAAACTGAACAATTTTTAAAGGATTTTATCTTATTGATAATCTTGATCAATTAAACTATTCTTACGCCATTTCTCTTCGGGTTCACACCACTACACAGTTGAGAGCTTTGTTAAAAGTGTGGATTACTGCTACTGTACTAGATATTTTCTCTTGCTTACAATAGTTTCCTCATGAACTAAACCAGCACCTTCAGACAAAATATACTGTAGCTCCTCCCCCTCCTTCCAAGCTGCACAGCACTTCAGAGCTGCCCAAAGGTAGCCTGACCTTGGAACAGCATACTTTCTTCCATCTTGCCAGCATGTAACATTAATATCTTTAGTATTTACGTTCTGTTCAAAACCAATTATTAACAGCCAACTTGTATGAATGCACAAAACATTACTGCTGAATATTTTTTCAAACAGAAGAGATATACTTACAGCTGTTTCTCCTTCTGAGAGAATTCTTTCTGCAGACTTTCAGACTTATTCACATATTCCTGTTTAAGTTTCTCGTCCTCATTCTCAGCTTCCAATTGAGCCTTCTCTGCTTGCTGCAATCTGGTGTAATTCAAATCAACTTTGGGTAAAACTGAAGCTAGAATTAGGGTGTAGAGGATGAAGAAGACAAATAAAAGAAAAATGGGGAAATAGAAACATTTCTAAATAAAAACAAAGTTTGGGGGAAACTCACAAACTCAAACGAGAAATCCATACAATGCCTACAGAACTAGCTCCTGTTTTTCATACAGTCAGAGAGTGATCACTGTAAGTAATCAGGATTTTTATTTTATGCTAATCAATAACAGATGCCAAAGCATGATGATACATATTTTAGAATTGCAGCATATATCTTAATGCTTTTTTTTTTTTTTTCCTTCCTCTTTAGCATATATTTCTGTGTTATTTTTGGAAGCTTTTTTTTTTTTTAAATAGCCCCAGTAGAAGTACTTTGCTTGTACTTATCACCCAGGGCAGGATGCGTGTTGTGCAAAAGCAGCTCAAAACAATTCAGGCATAAGGCTGAATACAGAGCACTGCAATCAGACAGCAAAACACTTAACTAGCCTAACACAACAAGATATACCCCAATAGGTCCCACTACATTTACAGAACTACCTCAATTACATCACGTTTGTAAATGTAAACAGTCTGTATTAAAAATAATGCATTCTTACACTAATTAAAATAGCTCCATACTAAAAACAATTTAAGTAAAACTGATCAGTCAAGAAGTGAGGGGCTGTTTTTTAAATGTAATCTTTCCTTTCTGAATGCCAGGGGTTTGTTTCTGCTTCAGGTCCAACGCCTATGGAATCCATTGTGGTTTCTCTCTGCTTTACCACCTCTTCAGTGCAAAAAAACATAGGGGTACTGTAATAAAAGTAAAGGTGCTAAGATGGAACTTGCCCTGAAAAAAAGGCAGGAAGTGGAAGTGCCTGTAAAATACCACTGAAAGTCCCCACCTGCTGCATCTTGTTTAACAAAAATGCTTCAAGTGCCCGCACAGGGAAGTGGGGCAGAAAGCTCTGATTCATTCTGTGCTTGATTTCACAATTCCCAGCAACTAGCTGAATGCAGAGTCAACTCACAGCTCCCAGTGTCAGCTAAGAAGATATCAAGTCAGCCACCTGTCTGCATTTGTGCTTCAACTGATAATGTTGCCCCGGTGGAAATTTCCAAAAGCTGCTAGCAAACAAGCAATAAAAGCCTAGAACTAAACACTTCACAAAGTGTGCACTGTCCCATTCTACTATACCTGCTGTTGTGAGCACCTTCACAGACACATTTGCAGTGATGGAGCACACAGGCCCAAGCCAGATGGAAAGGAGTATTCTAGGACAAAGCAGGGCCAATTAACTGGACAAAGACACTACATCAAGCTGCACAAGTCTCTAAGTTACAGACTACACCACAGAGCAGTTTGCACAACCAAGGGAGAAAGGGAGCTTGCTGCCCAAGGTACATGCTAGCCAGCCCAGGCTACAGCATTGTATGCTAAACCAGCACCAAGAATGACAGCACAGCTGCAGTGCAGACAAAGGCTGAGTGGGACTGAAGTCTGCAGCAGGATTTTAGATTCAGATGACACTGAGTCAGATAGATACTGGTTTGCATAGAGTGACTGTGAGATGGTTAATGCTCCCATTTCTACTACAGTCTATTCTTGTTTTTTCGAGGCAAGGGGATATTCCTTTCTCTCTTTTTAACAGAAAGATCGTGTTAAAGGCTCTTTCTGGTTTCAAAGCAAGGAATAAGATTATATATTATCACGCAGCAGAAACCCTTCTTGTATTATGGTGCTTTGCCCCTACTTTTGCAAACACATTCCCTCCCGCTGAAAGACTCAAAAGATTTTTTTCCAAGTCAACTCTGTGTTTGCTTTTCAGAGGAAATAAGGGGAAGTGCATCAAGGGCAGCCCTAAAACTCTTATTTCAGCAGCACAGGCAAGCAGCAATTCAATGCAGAAATATGATTTGCAAAGACTGCCTAGCGATGGGTGGAGAGGGAAAAGGGGTTGGGCAGAACCATGGGTTAGGATTATAGTACTGACACAGCCACTGCCAAACAAGTTAGACAGGCACCCTAAATGTAAATCCCATCATTACTACTGCTGCCATTCTAACTGCCCTGGCGCAGTGGAGGCAAGAGCTACAGCCACATTATTTGCCAGGCCCTGCGGCCCTTTCTTTCTGGAGCCCGAAGTCCAGGCTCCAAACACAATGTACTTCCAGGAAAATATGCTACTCTCCATCACATCAGGAGAATGGAATTGTGCTGTAACTGCTTTATCCTCAAACCCTGGAATTCTTCTACCATACGTACCAAATGTATGTTTACACCTCCTTTCCTTCTTAAAGGTACTATTGTGATACAGCACTCAAACCCCTTCCCCCAAAAGCCCTGTTCATGCTGTTCAAGAAAGCAGTGCTAGTTACAGTGGAAAAAAGAAATAAGAGAAAAAATGAACAGAGAGCTTGCTTTTGGGATAAATATAGCCCTGAAAGTGAAAGAAACAAGCAGAGATGAAGAGAAGTATTACTCAGAAGGGCAACTTTTAAAATCTTTTAGTGCCATAAAGAACAGGAAAAATTGCCAGATAAAAAACAAATGTCATAAGTAAGTATAGTCCAAATGAAGATAGTTGATAAGCTTTTTGACAACAGACAAGTGAATAAATAACATTAGAAAACTAGCTTACATTTTCTTAACAGTAGTGCAATAATTTATGTTCTCTCTCTCTTTCTTTTTAAAAGAGGAGCAAAGCCAGATCAGAAATGATGATCTTACAGAAAACAAAACAGAACCCAGTTACGATCAGTTACAGCGCAGGATTTCTAGTACCACTTTCTATGTCAAACTGTCACTTTACAATTCTGAAGTTGCATTTTATCAGTAATATTTAAACAGAAGAGAGCTGGAGGAGCTTTCAGAATGATATATCTTTGACGAGCTTATACTGGTGCTGAGCTTCATTGCTGGCGCATTTGACAAATGACATTGCAATAGTCCTAGTTTGAGTTAACAGATCTTTGTCACTTCACGAATGCAGTGGACAAAAATCAAAGACAGATGAAGGCAGCAAAATAGTAAAAACAAAAATTAGGATGAAGGATAAAAGAAAAAGAAAAAAGAGGAAAAAGGATGTCAATAAAAGAATATTCATGTCACTAATTTTTTTTTTAATATATAACCATGTTTTTAATAATCAAATTTAAATGAAAAAAAGACATGTCAAACACCAAGATGACAGTGCTTATGGATGTTATATTCCACAATATAGTCTATTAAAAAAGACCAGCATTGCACGTAGGCCACTAAATTAAACACATGAACCACATTTTAATGCTACGTTATGCATGCAGTCTAACGACAACAGACATTTATATAGCAGAGTTTTAGTCTTTCACTTTTCAATCTTTCAGTGTAAAAACTCCCCATAATAAAAGTAACGGTTGTGCTAAAGCAACTGAATGATTTTTAATAGCTGCAGCAAACTCAGCAGTGATCCATTAAGGAGTAAACGCTTATATCAAATAATCTTGCTTATGGAATAAGCTTTGTTTACAATTGCATTTCATTCAGATGGAGAAAAAAAAAAGGTAACATCGAATCCACATTTGAAACAGCTGAAATAACAGCTTTTGCTATTAGCACAAAAACCGAGGAAAAGAAGAAAGACAGCAGACAAAGAAAAATGAAAGATTAAGTTTTTACTTAAAATAAGTGCATTTGCTAAAAAGAAAAACAAAAATCAATCCATAAAGCACTAGTTACAGTTTCAGGAACTTTCCTTTAAAATTTTCTAGTTGAAAGTTACATTTCAGTGGCAACAGTGTGGGAATGCAGTAAAATATATGGGGATGGAGAAATGAATGAAGGAAAACAAGGATGGATCTGTACCTTTGTTCTAGTTGTTTCATAGTAGCGTTAATTTGATTGGTCTTATCCTCTAATCGACCAATTATTTCATTCTTTTCTTTCATAGCATCTTCAGAAACCTGTGTTACAAAGAAGGTCAAAGACAAAGTAGTTTTGCATTGTTACTCCAAGGAGATTTTTTTTCTTCTGAAAAAAACAGAGCAACTGTCAGAACAATACTTACACTGAATTTCACACCTAGCAAACCTGTAGTTTACTAAGGATGAACTTTTCATTTCAGTTTGCTTTCTTAATCATTTTGTAAGTCAACTTAAATTCACTGATCACCTTTTTAAGTCGCTCACTAGACCTTACTAATAACAAACCAAGATACCGAGACCTGGAAATGACAAAGGTTCTCTAACTGTTATCAGACTTTACCTAATGTGCCTGCAAATATTTTAGGAATTTTCCTACCATGCTGTACAATTTTGATTGCTTGCATAGCTGTCACAATCCCAGCTTGAAGACCCAAATACAAGGGAGAGCATCACCCTTGCAATACAGATCAACACTATAACTGGATCCCTGAACATGACATTGGGCATGATTGAACTGTTTGATTGACTCAAAAATGGGTATGAACATTATTATGTAAAATCACCTTCCCTAGAAATTCAGCTTTAAAAAACAAAAATCTACAAGTCCTGATTACATTCCCATCTTCCTTTCTTTCTATTTGCATTTCCCCTCTTTGAATCCAGCTTCCTCACTGTTTTCAGAGGAAAAATAACATCCTGTGTCCACTACCTCACTTAATTCTCTGCAGCGTTATTTTTCCCCACTCACTCTACCAGAATTTGACTGTTTTCTTGTGTTGTTTTTGATTATTTCTTCTCTAAATTAAACCTTCTGCATAAAGAATTTAATGCTCAATTTCCCTGGTGCTTTGTTAAATTGGGTCTCTGAAATCCATATTCTCTCAAAACATTTTTTAGCTTTGCACATTACAGATTTTCTTTATTTGTTAACAGCAAACAAAACCTTGTTTTCAAAATGCTTTGCACTGCTTTGAATGCTCACATCTTCTCTTTAATATCACTACACGACTGCACCTTTTGTATTTCTCATTTTCCATACAGGACAGGTCAAGGAGTATGAACATCACTAGATATACAACTATTCTATTCCATACAAGTTAAAAGGCCATGCTCTTATTTTTATGCTTTGCTTTTCTATAATCTCAAGAAAATGAAGTGTCTGCCTTTAACAACACTTTGTGTTAAATCACAGCAGCATCAGTAATGTTCCAAACAAACATGTTGACCTAAAAAAAAGCAGTAATTAAGCAAATAGCAGTATCTATAATGGAAATGCATCTCTCTTACTTCTGTCGTTTCATCAGATTAACAGCAGACCTTACCTGCAGCTTTTGGTACATTTCCATGTTAATTGCTTTAACTTCATCAAGCTGCTGCCGAAGGCCTATGAGTGTGTCCTGCTTCTCATGGATGTCCTTCTCCAGTAACTTCATAGCAAGTTCTATCTCATGTTTCATGCTAACTTGAACTACCAGTTCATTCTCCATATCCTACAAAACACACAGACGACACAACACAAAATCCTTCAACAATTATTGAATGTTTTATCTATGTTTTGAGAAGGAGAAGAGCTAACAGAACTGCAGCAACATCATTCCAACACAGAACTCTCTGTAACTGTGCAAAGTAATTATCTACTGCAATAGCATTACACTCGTGTACTTAGTGACTTACGCTTGAAAAAAAAAAAAAAGAAAGAAAGAAAAGAAAAGAAAAAGAAATAAAACACTTTTGGATAAGACAACTCGCATTACACAATACCACATCATTTCTCATAGACACAGAGTTATGTATTAATTACAAAAATACAGCTACAGGATTTCTATTTTTGCAAGAAATACTTAACATACATACAGAACATGCAGTGCTCCTTATCTAAAACATTCTCAAAGAAATTCTATTTTCCTGACTATGTTTTAGCAACATTGTTACAGAAATGCTAAGGCACTGACTGCTTTTTTAGAAAACCTCTCATTATCTGCTGTTATGGAAACAACACTCTGGATTAAAGGCAGTGCCTAACCAGAGCCAAACCAAAACTAGAAATAATTATACACTGACTCAAGTATCACCTTTCCTAGAAATGCTGGCTACTTCAATGAAAGAGCACTCACCTGCCGGAGCTGTGATTCTTCTCGAAGCTGCCTCCGTGCCTCATTGTACATCTCATCTAACCCCTGCCTGGAGTGTTTGTATGTCTGAAGTTCTGCTTCAACATCCACTTTAGTTACCTAGAAAGATATGCAGAATCTTTATTCATTACGAGTTTAGCCACTAATACCATAAACTTCAATCATGGTACAAACAGGAAAATAGCTACTGTTTCTGCTTAGTGGTCATCAGTTTTATGAGAACTGAGTAAACTAGCAAAATAAGCTGTACTACAGTATGCCTTATCCTTCAGTAAGTCAATCCAAAACAATACTTTTTCAATATTGAGCAATCCAAACACACAACAGATCTGTACTTTTACCTGTAAAGGGAGTTTACTTCTTATCCTTTACAAGGATTTACATTTGGAGTTACAAATCACATCTTAAAAAGCAATTGTACACACATTTTTATTCTAAATGATGTATCATTCTTTTAATAAGAAAGGTCACAACGCAGTTCACCAACCAAAACATACTCTATTTTGACAAAATTCTCAGACAATACTCATAGATGCCCTTAAGATACAGCTTTAAATATATATATATATATATATTATAAAACAACCTAGAATCCTGTAGCTTCAACCTATTTAAACCATTATAAAGCTTCCCAAATTTAACAGGTTCTTCCCATAAGAACAAAAAAAGCTGTTTTAAATTTGGCCAACTAATGCTTTCTTCAAGATGCAAAGGAAGCACAGTTAAATGACAACAAACCACACTATATTAAAGTAAAATTGGCATACCTCTAGATGATGCTGTGTTTTCATTAAGATCAGAGTATTTTCACTTCTTAATTGATGATTTTCTTCCTGAAGTTTAATTATATTGTTTTTGGCTATTGCTAACTGGAATAATGATAAAAAATAACAAAAAGTGAGCACTGTTATAAGCAGGAAGAAAAATCAAAGCATTCTGATGAATGTGAGACCAACACATGCTCTGTCCTGTTCTTGCAGCCTAACAAAGAAAGGAACAGCATACATATCCAAGATACTTCATTATTTTATGTCTGACAAAGAAAAATATGCTTTCTTTTCATTGTTTCATTGTGATTCAAAGACCCTCAATCCCCTTTTCCCATCTTATATTTTTCTCTTTCTGTTTGAATTGAAATATATCCGATTTTGTTCTTTCTGGACAACTTAATGTATCATATGGAGCAATTTAAATAAGAAAGGCTCTTCTGGATGTAGAGAAAAAATATATACAGAAAACATTATAACTGGGCCCTTTATTATATATCCTAACACCGGGCCTACAAGCCAGCTGATCAGAACAGATGGATGGCTAAAGATGATGGTTTGTAAAGGAACCCAAAAACTCAGGACACTCAGGACAAAAAGTTTTCCTCTCTCTGAACACACGAGCACAGTAAGCTAGCTATCCCTTCAACAGGGATAGCTGAATTCAGACATCCACAGTTTCCACCTATTTCTCAGTCAGTTTGTGTTAAAAAGAAAGGCACTCACTCTTATAAAGCTAAAGACTTTAGAATCTAGTGAAGTATCAAAGATAACTGAAAATATAAGAAATAAACGCAGTACCAGATCCAGACAAATGTAAAGACTGTATGTGGTAAATAAGCAAGAAACAATCGTTCAGCTAATGCTGAGAACTGTAAGAGAAATTGCTTACTGAACTACTTTCTGTGTATCAACTGGTGTCACCCATTGAGCACTAATCGGCTGCACAAAATCAGCCTGACAGCCGGCCTGAAGAAACGCTTACTTTCTGTTGCTGACCCAAGTGGGAAATTGTCATGCTCTGTAGAATTCATTTACTGATGCTGCATGCTATCTAAGCAAGCTGACTGCAAGCTCCTGCAGCTACTGTACCTTTTCTTCGAGATAAATTAAAAACATCTGAACATATTCTAGACTGAAATAATTTAAGCATACTTATTTAGAATGTTTGATATCAAAGCACATGTATTGTATGATACTAAAAAATAATACCTCTTCAATCAGTTTAGTGTTTGACTTCTCTAATGAATCAACTCTTGCATGTAGGCTGCTAACTGTGCTACTGAGAGAGAGAGAGAAAGAAAGAAACCATTACTCAGAATTCTATCAAAAACCAAGCTCAAAAGCTTTAATTGACATACAGTCATTAACCATTAATAAGACCCAAAAGATCTTCTCCCATTATTTGAGGTTTTCTTAAACAGAAGGAAATCATGCTCCTCTGTCCAATGTTAATATACTTCTGTCCAGTGCTCAATGTCATCCTGGTCACTTGAACCAGTTTTTGAACCAGATTTTGTACCCAAATGTTTAAGGAGTTGGCTTAAAAATGAGTTTGCAATCTTCTTGTTTTCCCAGCCCCCAACCCATATATAATGAAAATCATGCTCTGGATTCTCTTCCTCCAAAAATTTATTTTTCTTCATAAATTCATTTTTCTTTTATAAGACCATCTGTTTCTCCACAGTTTTTGATACTATTCTCAGAGTCCCTCCTCCTTGCTGCTTCTTGCCTTAATTTACAACACTTGTCAAAAAAACTGAGTTTTTTTATTCTAATTTTTTAAATCAAAGGACATCTTTTGACCAGAACTTCTCCATCACCTGACAGCCCATCTCTGCTCTAAGCATATTTTTATGCTGCCCTTTCTGCACTGAAAAAACACCTATCCTGAAACACCACTTATTTTCCCACCTATTTCTGTGGTGGGGTCTATAAAAGTCATCAGTGCATTAAGAATGGCAAGGTAGAAGAAATCTACACATTTCATGATGTGTGGAAAGAAATAACCAACCTTAAAAATGAAGAGAGCTACTGAAGCATTGGTTTGCTAGTAACTTTGTGCATAAACCAGTGTACAGTAACATACAACAGCTCTTACCTGAATGATGACAGCTATTACTAAGCAACCACCGCCGTGCTTAACTGTGACAGTTCTTTTCGCCTCAATACAGTTTAATTTTGCTTGTACTGGATACACAGAGATTCTGTGTCCTTTAGGACACTTCTGCTCAGTGACTGACACTGCTTCAAATCAGAGTATCCACACCCCAACTGCAGCCACATAGTGACCAACAGATGAGACCATCAGCATTACATGAATAAATACAACTGCATGTCAAAAAGGGATCAAGATCAGCTACACTACAGATTCTACAGAGGGAGATCTGAGCAGGTTTTTTTTTTGCCAAGGCAAGATGTGAAACCACAAAGATTCATCCACAACACATGATAATACTTACTGACAACTGTTAAACAGACTGCAGTTAAAATGGTATTTCCGACAACGCATCCAGATCAAGCTTTTCTTTCATTTGAAGTTATAAATCTTGAACACCACAACCAATTTTGCCCTGCTATTTCTTTCTCAGAAGGTTCTGACTATCAAAAACAGAAGCATGAAAACACATTTCCTTCCTCAGTCTTCCAAAAGACAGACTTCTTTCAGCCTCTCTACATCCTCAGTATAAACATGAAAAATATTCGCCCATTTCCCTGAAGTTCTCTCTCACAAAGCTGTGGTAGAAAAAGAGATAGAGGCATTCTGCCTGTAAGCCTGAACAGACATGCATACTTCAAAGTAACACTTACTTCAGTTGTCTATTTAGTTCTTCAACATAATTCTTTTGGTCCAAAATTGCAGCAATCTGTTCATTTCTGAAGCAAGAAAACCATAAATTGAGCTTTAACAAAATGAAATAGTGAATTATGTTCTGAAAGTTTCAAATGCAAATGTTCACATTAATTGTACTTTAAAATAATAATAATAAAAAGAAATTTCATCTCACAGTCTTGAAGTGAGTAACTTACATGCTGTGACAACAGCGAGAGACAAAAAAACCCACTGCTTTAACTGCAAATAACTTCTGTTTACTCAGCCATAACTCTGGTTCTTTGAAATACTGAATGCTCCTTTACTCAGCTAACTTGCAATCCTTCAGTACTGTCCATCAAGGTCAGTGCAGTAGGTGAAGTTACTTAGCCTTGCTCCAGAGAGCACACATTCTGATAACTAACCAGTAATAGGGAACAGTGTACTGTGCCATTCTCCTCAAGACTGTGTTTCGCTTTTAGGAAATTTTGTTTCTACAAAGGACAGCTCATCAATCAAGAAATTATTTGTTAATATCCCAAATCTGAGGGACTTAGGGAGGACATACCTTTCCTTTCCTCCAATGTCATCGTCACTCTTTAAATACATAGAGAAATCGATCACACCAACCTAGGAGCAAAAAAATGTATACAGTTTCATATGGTGAAAGTAACTGTTGTCCAGGATTCAGGGTTTTGTATCTATTTACTAATACCTCAGTTACATCAGCCTTTTAAAAGGTTTCAGTTTATTTAAGTGAAGTTCAAAAGAACTGAACAGCAACATTTTGAGCCAACAGGCCCAGTCTCATTGATTTGTTCAAAACGTTTCCTTGGAAACAAAAATAAACCATGAACCAAATCCTTCTCATTATGAAGAAACGATGACTTCTCAAACCTGAACAAGCTTAGCCAAGAGCTTATAGGAAAATTTCCAGTACTACTGAACCCTATAGATGACTGAGGAGGCTTGAGATAATTAGTTTGCAGTATTTCACGTAACAATCTTTCACAGCACACCACCCATGATGTTTCTCCCATGCTTAACTTCTCAAAATTCCATGCCCAATAGCACTAGCTCTCTGCACCTGCTGACTACCAGGTATGCACACACAACTTTCCATTTCTACTTTTAAACCTTGCTAAATCTTAATCTTTACTTTCTATTCAATTGTAATTCAATCATATATACCATAAATATCATCACCTTGAGCTCTGCTTCCAAGTCTATTCACAGATCTCTATGTAACTCATTCGCTTTGCCAAAAGTATTCCTTTCTTATCTCCATCGCTACAATAATATTTCCATTTCTCTGATTTACTGCTTCTTTCATCAGCTCCATTTAGCTTCTGCATACAAATAACTCACTACATTTCCTTGGATTGCACATTGCTCTCCTATGCATTTCCTATCATAATCTTCTGTCTGTTCTTTCCACATCTTTTCTATAGAGTCTCTCCTCCAAAAGAGGATGTGTTTTATTTAAACATATTTAGCAAAATATACCTTTTACCTTAAAAATATAAATATATACCTTTAACGTTTTCCTTTAATCCTCAATGTGAACACACATCTCTCCACTGAACAGGAATCTTCCAACATACCAAAAACATACTCCCAGATGTGATTCCAACCATCCTTTAAAAGCCTCTTTCTACTTAATTCAGCTTACTGTTTTTGGTTTCTCTGAAGAAGATGTCTTATTTATGCTACTCTTCACAAAGGGAATTCCTATGGAACCTCACCATGACATCCACAATTACCTTCCCAAATCAAGTCTTCTCTCCCCTCGTAGAACCTTTAAAGCCACTGAGTGACCTAGATAACAAAGATGCAGCTAGCAATAGCTACTTTGTAATTTATAACACACAGTAATTCTCAGTACTGAGAAAAGCACATTGATAAGGCTTTTATAATCACATGCTTTTCTGTATTGTCTCTTCTGGTAGGTAATATCAGTACCTAAAACCTTAGAGAATTACTAGCATGAACACAAAACCTATTAGCTAGAACTTTTCTTTGACAGAAAAATTGCTTTTTCAATCAAACATACTGAAATAAGTAATTACCATTTAAACTACTCAGAAATTCTCCAAATTATCTGGAAAAAAAAACAATCAGGGCTGAGCACAGCTTACATATATTTATAAATACTTGCATGTATGCCTTTAAAAAGATTCCATCAAGATTCACTTAGAAAAAATAGGAGTTGGAATTCAAAGCAGCCTGCAAAGCACACAGAGCTCTACTGACACACTACTGATACTGCTTGTTCTGCAGACAGAAAGCAGTCACACCCTCTCGTAAGGTCTTTTATTACACTAAGTGAAGCATGCTAGTTTTTCTTTTATTCACATTCCCATTGTGTTCCAACAACAAATGGATCAAATGGGATAAACTGAACATGGAACTATGCCCAAAGAAAAGGATGATTTACACAATTAAAATGGAAACAACTCTCCCATTGCTACTACTGCATCCATTTGACAATGAAACCTTTGCACTCTGATGTTTATCACCATCCAAAGGTCTGATCCAACTGATACTGAGGCTAATACAACATCCCCACTGACCTAGGATCATGCCCTGAGCAATCTAGTCAGATTTCTAAGTTCTCTGCACGCAAAATGCTCATTGCCTGCACGCACGTTACTTTACCTGCACTGACTTACTTGTGAATCCAGGTCTTCGCCCTTTACGCACAGGTTAGCATCTATTACATTCAGCCCAACCAGCAGCCCAACAATAACTGCTCCTTCTTCTTCCATCATCAGTGCATGATACTCATAAAATTCACTGTTAAATAAAAAGATGGTCTCAATTGGTACACTCCATATACCTATGTGCAATAAATTATAACAGTAAGTGATACTTGAATCTGAACTTTCTTTGATTCTCATCTCCCTTCAGCATTCCTAAACATGAGCCAGGTCTTTGCACATTTTGCTTCCACGAATGTTTAAAACTAGGAAGCACACAGTTTGCCTCAGAAGCTATTCAAAAATACAGACAGACCCTTTGGCTGCAGAAATCCAACCCACAAGCTGGTGGAGGGCTGGAAAGTTTTGGCAGGAAGACTTCTCTTGCTTTTAAATAAGGGTCTTCCCTATACGCTTGTAGTAGCCAATCTGACAGAAATCTTGTGATAAAACAGTCTGGACATTAATGAAGACATACTTGAAATTAAATAAGCAAAGTAAGAGACTAAAGGGTTTAAGAAAAACAGGAAGAAATGAAATTATGTAAAGGTTTTTAAAAGAAAAATACTCCACCAAGCCACAGAATATCAATATCCTCCTTGCATTCTCTAAATAAACTTTAGACCCTATGAAACAAACTGCTCATTGAATGGAAAAGTCCACCACTGCTGACCATCAATGTCATCCTGACACATCAGCATTATTTGAGGTAAATAACAATTCTTCAAAATATTCATAAGTGACAGAACTGAAAATAAGATGGTAAGTCCTTCTTTCCTTTGTGCTTCACTCAGCTCGTTACAAAGGAGGAATTATACTAGAAGAAAGCAGTGTCAGATTTAGAACTGTGGAAGGAAGGGCAAATTCAAGTCAACAGTCCTTTACACAATGGCTGCTTAGTAGGAAACCACGCATATGGTAAAGGGTGAATTAATCTCCTCTCCACATGCTTCTAATCCACATTCTGCATGGCTGAGGAACACAGCAGGAGCCCTTCCCCATCACCCCTCCAATGAAAGAGCAGTCAGGCACACTGCAGATGATGGGGGGAGACGTCTCTTCATCCATCATCTGGCCCTCAATCTTCATGAGACAACAGGGTTTGGTCTCTTGACCACAAGAACTGGAGGAAATCAGCCCAGTTGCCGGAAGCCATGTCTTGATTTTTTTTTTTTAAGTATATATTAAAAAGCAGCAAATAGAAAACATTATTTTTTCAGGAGACTACATGTATAAAAATAAATTCTAAACAAAAACTATTTACCTGAGAAGCTCTCTCTGAATGATTAAACAGCGAAGATAGTCAGCCATTTTCTTCTGCATTAGTGCCAACCGTAACCAGGCCCGGGCACGGCCCAGTGGTGTTCTGGAAAAAGGGGATGGAGAAAACACACAGTCCAAAATCAACAATATATCAATTAATTTACTGTCTTGATTATCTTATCAGTCTACCGGTAGCGCAATTAGCATTTCTGAAACTATTCTGTTTCAGAAATATAGTTTTCAAAGTACTGAATGACACAGCACAACTCTACACGACTCACATCACATTCTAACTTCAAGTTGTACATCTTCACAAACTGTGGTATCTTAATAAGATAATTCAAATAAAATGATGGCAAATTTAGCTAGTAAACATTAATATCTAACAAATTAAACCTCAACATTTTCCTGTAAGTATGCACTTACATACTTACAAAGTGATATGCATATAGGTGGAATAGGGAGAAAAAAAAAACAGTCAAAACCCACACTGATATGCTATATTAAGATGGAAAGTGCAACAAACATAACCAAAGGTATTATTTCATCAAGCTTGATACAAGAGTAAATAATAATTAGTATACCTATATGCTTTAGATGAGGTCTAAAGCTAAAAATTATAACCTTAATGCTACCACATAACCATCTCAATGTAAACAAGCCCTTTCAGAATTGAATATGTAGTCAACTACACAGCTAGATGCAAAAGCAGTGCAGAGGGATGGAAGGAGACTGTAGCCTATAGCATAAATTCATATTCCAGAAGGATCCTGCACTGGAGGATTCTCCTATGGGCATCCAAAGAGCTGTCCAATTCTTTTCACTTCAGTATGGTACCTTTTCTTTTCATTCAGAGTATGTGTTTGCTACAGTTCTAGACTGTAGACTGTGATACAGAACCTATTCCTTTTTGTACTGTTTTTGTCCACCACTCAGAAAAGTTCTCTCCCAGAAATATCAGAAAAGCACACAGAATTCCCACTTTTGTAGCTCTTTCACATGGAACATAAGCAGCTAGCAAGATCCCCCCATGTACTCCCCCAATATCATGTGCTAGCTGTTCAAAGGCTTGATTAATGCCAAATTAAATAATTACAACCGTATTCAGATCCCGTATTTCTTGCAGTATATTTTACCAATACAACTTACTTGAGGCCAGGCAAATCTCTGACACTTGCTGCTATTTCCTCAGCTTCTGGATATAATTTCTCCACAAGTTCCAAAGGACCCCAGATAGTTTTATTGTAACTTAAAAAGGATTTTCTTACTAGGAAACAAAAAAACATCACTGAGTTAATTGAAATGCTGGAGCAGTTTCCTTCAAAAATAGCTGGCCAGTTCGCCAGTGCCCAGTCATCTTACAAATTACTTTGCTGTGAACATAAAACTGCTGCTGCTAGAACAAGACAATATGAACAAAAAAGTTTAGTTAAACATACATGCTACACGTGTACAGATGTTGAATCCCTGGATCACTCACAACAACAAACGGTTTACAAAGCAAAAAGTTGGCAGGCACAGAAATGCAAATTGTAAAGTACTAGGGACAGCATTAATTAAAGAAGGAGAGAATTTACATACTTTACTGTCTTCTTAAAGAAACATGGCACACTTAGATCTGATTCAAGAGAAAAAGGAAGAAAGACTGCATGTTTGGGATGAGAAACATGCATCCAGAATAACCACCACACCTTTAAGGCCATGCTTCAGACAGTGCTCCATGACAACAAAGAACTGCTGCAGAGGAGGGTAGTCAGAATCCAGAGTACGGCCAAAGCTCAAAGCTGATTCAATGAGTCCTTTGATACTCAGTTTGGCCATGTTCAGTAAATTTGCTCTTTCTACAGCTGTTGGATCTTTTACAGCTAAGGCAAGAAAGAAAAAAACGTTATGGTTCAAGTTTTAGAAGGATGCAAAACAATGAAATGATTCATAGCTGCTTTGCTCAAAGAAAGCTTACCTTAAACTAGGTAAATTCAAAGGTATAATTCAGTGCTACAAGCCACCATGTCATGGAGAGGTGGATGGTCCAGAACAAAAACCTTCACAGATCCTATGCTGTTGTAACAGGTGAATCAGAAATGGAGGCCAAAAACATCAGTTCTCAGTTACCTTGTTGTCCTTGCACCTCTCAGCAGCAGTCAGAAACAGCAAGATAGCATGATCATCAATGCTGTGCTAAAATGCTCAGCTGCTTAGGAGCAATCAGAGCCCTTACTGCTGTATCTAGGAAGCATTTCTGTCTGGTATATTGTAGCATAATAGGCTCACAACAGTTCTCTCCTCTATAGGATTATTCTCCATGGTGGCTCTACTTTCACAATGATTAAAGGATATGTTTTCCGTTTGAGGCTGCATTTACTCTCAGTGAGTAAATCTAGAGTTTTTTCTTAACAACAACAAAAATAAGTAAAAATAAAAACCTAAGATCCTTGTTATAGATAGAAAATATTTCCTGGGCAGAAAAATCTAAGTGTAGGAAATAAAGCTTTTGCCAATAGTTCTAATTAGCAATGCACTCTCCAGAACGTACACAAAGAAATTTACATTTGGGGTTAAACCTTGTCAGTAAGAGTCCCACAGCTTTTCAAAGTCACTCTAATCAGACAGAACAGACAAGGTTCTTCTCCTTAGAGCTGCAGCTACTGAGAGCAGAGTGTTTGGGAGATTCCTAGTTCATTTTCACTCATAATGAAGCATCTCAAACACTCAGGCTGCCATCTATTTTACCAAATGGAAACGTGAGACAAAGCCACACTGTTCATTCACCGGGATCAAAAGGATTGGAAAGAAGCAAAAGAAGTTTACGATGTATTGCTTTCTGCTGTTTGCAATTAAGTATTATATGAGTGTGTGTGCATTTTCTTTATAGCAGCCAGTTCCTCACTGCGTTCCTCCAAGAGCAATCAAATCACTCGTCTGACTTCTTTAACGGCGCTGCTTTAGGCTTTTAGATATCAGAAGCTTAGAAAATCACCTTCTTAACGTTCTCTATTCCTAACTGCCCATCAAACACCACAGCAGCACACAACCCAGCCTACCTCACGTCTTAGGTAGAAGAAGTATCACTGAGGTAACGCACCCAAGACAACCTTAACAATTACTTCCATATTGCCTCAGCTTACAGGCGCTTCAATGGAAAACACTGTCACACGCGGGGACAGCTGGCAGCACGGAAGGGCTGGCGAGGTGCTGAGGCAGCCCCAGCCCAGCGAGAGCACGCAGCCCCCCGCCGCCCCCAGCACGACCCACCCGCACGCAGCTCTTTTCCCTCACGCAGGGACACCGCGGCGGCCCCCCGCCCCACAGCCGGGACGAGCCGAGCCGAGCCGAGCCGAGCCGAGCCGAGCCGCGGGCAGCGTCCGCGCGCGGAAATCGAGCGGTCTCCGCACTACGGCTGCGGCGGGGTCCCGCCCGCGCCTCCCACCGCCGCCAGACGCCGCTCCGCCCTCCTCCGAGACAGCGGAAAGCCCTCGGCTCCCGCGCAGCAACCGCCTGCCGCCGCGGCCCCTGCCGCGTTGCCGCCTCTCGAGGCCCAACAGCGGACATTTTCCGCTCGCGACCCCGCGGCCCCCGGCCCGGCGCCGCTCACCCATGGCTGGAGAGGAGGAGCCGCCGCCGCCGCCCAGGCCGCTCCCTGCGCGCCCCGCGCCTCCTCTCGCCCCGCCCCGCCCGCTGCTGCCGGAGCCCGGTCCCAAGGGCGCCCCCTGCGGCGGGAAGACCGCCCCCACTGCACCTCGCAGTTATCGCGATACTACGGGCTGCGCGTGATGTTAGCGAGCCCCGGCTCCGGCAGCGAGTGAGTCCGTTCCTGGGGGAAGGGAGGAGCGGCGCTTCAGCTCGGAAATACGCTGTTCTGGTTACGATCGTTTTTACTTTTAGAATTAGCCCAGGAAAGAGTAGAGCACGGAGGCGGTGCTCAAAACCTGGCATCACGGACGCTGCCTGCATGAGAGAGCTCTGTTTCAAAAGTGACACGGGGCACAGGAACGTGAATCACTTCGTTCCTCGTTTATGGGATTGAAACAACTCCCGGCCCCAGGCAGAGCTGCAGCCAGGGAGAGCTGGGCCGGTTCCTTTCTTGCCCTCGAGCTGCTCGGAAAAGGGCATGCAGTGCATCAGCATCACCCTTGTCCCACATGCATGGAAAAACCAAGGGATTACACAAATGAGCAAGGGAACTTCAGTTGAGAGATTCATTACATTATGTATATTAACATTAAAACGTTCTGTACTTAAAAATCAAAGACCATGAGGCTTTTTTCCCCAAACCACACAAGACAGCATTTTAATTAGGAATGTTAATAAATAGGGTTAGTAGATGTGACCTACATTTTAATGTGTAAAATCAAACTGGGTGCAGAGAACTGTGACTCAGTACAGCACTGAGCTCTGCACAGCCCTCCTTCTCAGATATCCCCCCATTCATATAAGCAGAAAAGTGTTTACCACGAGAAAAAACGAGCATAGAAACAGCTAAAACAGGACCTGAAGGAACAAAATACTTCACATTCCTGGTTTGTTACACATCCCTTAGTTTTAAGAGGACCAACTCAACAATCAAGTTTATTAAAGAAATGTCTATCATTACTTTTACTGGAGGAAACATTTAAAATCATTGAAAGTAATTGCAGTTCTGGCTTCATTCAGATTGAACTGTGCATGTCAGCACTCACATTCCACTAAACAATAATTTACATTCAGCAGCACCAGAAGAAAATACACAAGAAATGTCTTGTAAAACACTCAGTCTTCACACTCATAAAATGTTACATTGGTGGATACTTTCATGAGCCCCTGCTGGAAGATTGAAGATGTAGGAAGTTAAGGAAGTAGCTCTTAAGCATTCTAGAAACAAAAAGAGTGTGTACGAATATGTACTGGTGTCATCTGTAAAGAAAACATCTAACTTTCCTATTTAAATAGGAGATGTAAGGAGCTGAAACAAGAACAAACTTGATACAGTGCCAGAGAGAATGAAGAAAAAGATAAACAGGTCACAAGTTTTCCAATCTAGGAACCTTCATCCTGAAGCATTCTCTCAGTAGCTACTTAAATGGTTCTCCCAAAAGAATAATCACACTGACATGAAGATGCCCCAAAACTTAAGATGACCAGGAAAAAGCAAAAGCATTAAAAATCTAGTCATCAAATTTAAAATTAAAACCTATGTCAAAGTTGATTTGCAGATCACTATGGAGTTTTATTTCTACTTTTCAAGACAGAATGGAAGTCCTAGATCTGCCTATTAGCTTGTCATCAAAGTCTACTTCTGGCACATATTATACTGTGCTGACAATTACCATTGCAAACATAATCTAAATGATCAAAGGTCTTCCCATTCTTACCTCCTATCCAAGGGAGTCTTACCTTTCCCCTTTCACAAAACAGTGTTGGAAAAGGATATCATTGCCTCAGACTGTAGATGGCAGAGCAGCTTCTCCAAAGGAGGGTAGCGGCGGAGCGATGGAACGCAGCCCACCATGATGAGTTTGTGCTTGGCTCTCGTGATAGCAACATTAAGTCGTCTCCAATCCTTCAGGAGGGCACCAAGCTGATAAATAAACAATCTGCTTTTATTTTTCCTATGTAAGTTGCAGAATTGGATGTAGATAATTTTCAAAATGTATCTAAGTTTAAGGTTCAGGATAGTTCTTAAACTGGAAGTCAAGTTAGGATGAACAACTCACATTTTCATCGTTACTGTTCCTAACAAAAGACACAATTATGATACTTTTGTCTCTTCCTTGGTACTTGTCTATAGTGTTGACTTCCACTCTGCTCTCCTTCAGTCTTGCCATCAAATCGGTGATTACTTTCAACTGATGTCTGTATGGCGATATAATACCAATGTCTGAAGGCTTACAGCCAGCCTAAGAGAAGCAAAAACAGAAAATAGTCATTGTAGTTAGCTTGATTTTTTTTCTTGTTTTTTTTTTTCCCAGCTGAAGAAGCCTGCAGGATTTATTTTTTTTTAATAGTGCTGCAAGCTATCACCTCTGCACTAAGAAATCAATGGAAAATATTAATTACTGCAGGATCCCAAGCTTTGTCTTAACCTAGCATAGACAGGTATTCTCAAAATCCTCATTTTTCTTTCTTCTTCAGACTGGGAAGTAAACATGCAGAACTATTCATTAGTCTGTAGCACCCCTCAAGTTGACTAGATTATGGTCTCAAGTTGCTCTAGGGGAGGTTTAGGTTGGATATCAGGAAAACCTTCTTTACAGAAAGGGTTGTTAAGCACTGAGTAGGCTCCCAGGGAGGTGGTTGAGTCACCATCCCTGAATTCGATTAAAGTCTGTTTGGATGTGCTGCTCAGGGACATGATTTAGCAGCGGGTTGTTAGAGTTAGGGTAGTGTGGTTAGGTTGCAATTGGACTTGATGATCTTTTAAGGTCTTTTCCAACCTGTGCAATTCTGTGATTCTATGAAATAAGGGAGAAAGGCAAATCCCTTCCCCTCCCCTCACAAGGAAGCCAATCCTCATCTCTTAAGGAATTTAGCACCCAGCTTTTATTTCATCCCAAACTCCAAGCAGGCATGAGACAGGGAACTGAATGCAGACTTCAGGCCCCTTATGTAGGGACACAAAGCCAACCATGAACTTACCCTCACAGTTATCCCTCCAAGAATAACCCCACACACGTAGTCAGAATTTCTACGGCAATATACAATTACAGAACCGTCCCTCTTGAGCAAGTCAAGTAAAAGATACCTTAATGAATAAAGTCGTGAGGAAGAACACTAGTTTGGCTTCTGTCACATTACATACACCACCTTTTTCTGTGTGTTCTGGTGCTGGGAGCTTAAAAAATATAAATGGAAAATAATGACCATCTCTGAAAGTGCACAATATTCTAATTCTTAGCTCATCATATCATAGTGTTTACACTACTTTTTTTTTTTTTTTTAAGGTAGGGGGTAAATGCTAAATTCTACAGAGTATACCTATATCAGAAATTAACCTCAGAATAGAGCATTTACAAAGCATGTTGAAACAATTTAACAAAACTTGTTTCCAGTAATAGCCATTTCATAACTGCAAGTTTCTAGTAAGAGCAAGACACTTCAAGAAACTGTCAAGGCTCAATCATCTGATTTCACAGTTCATACAATACATATAATAAAAATAGACTTTCTGTGGTGAGGCTTCTTCTCATTTTGCTTGACTGCTATAATACATGAATCTTATATTGAACATGGACTTCTACATTTGAGATGGATTTTCTAGCATATAAAAAATTTAAATGGGAGACAGATAAATGAACTTTACCTTCTCAGTGTTCAGAAAACATACGGGTTTATCTGGCTCAAGTACTTCTTTCAGCCATGCTTTTGAAGCATCTACAAGCTCCAGTTTCAGCATTTTTAGATTTGGCAAATTAGCAGTAGCATTTGACACCTTCTCTGATCCACATTCCAGTTTGCCTTCATACACTAGCTTGTTACTCAGTGACATAATTTTACTAAGGATGAAGAAAGAAGTGGTGTCAAATCTTGCAATTTCAATTCCACGTTTAAAAAAAAAAATAAAGGAACTGCTGTAAAAAAAAAGAAGTTTAGCATACCTGTTCATTCTGTATTGCACAGTCAACTGGACAACAGCATTTTGGTTTTGCTCCAGCCTTTTAAATAAACTTTCACTCATACCAAGATCTCTAGTACAAAATAAACAATTCACAAAAGCATGTCAGACTACATAACATATTGCAAAAGCCCTCCCAGAATTCAGACTACTGGTAATTGTCCAGCAAATCTCACCTTGCTTCCGAATTCTGTACAAGCGGAGGCAGCTGCTGATGGTCCCCTACCAGCACAAACCGTTTGGAGCAGAACAGTGGGCCCAGACAGATGGGCTGGCTTATCTGGGAAGCTTCATCAACTATACAGAAATCAAACTGCTTCTGAACAAAGATGGGGTGATTTATGCCCATGCAGGCTGTTGCTACCACTGGCTGAAAAAATCGAGACACACTAATAAGAGAAAGCTTCAATCCCTCTACAGAACATTTTTCGGGTTAAAAAAAATTAAAAACATTTCAATTAGCTAAAGATAAAACCAATAAATTTTAGCCCTTGAAATCAGTGCCACTCACGCTGCACACATATTGACCTTATGTTCTTAAAGTCTTGCAATCTTGAAATTTCACTCTTTCAACTAATTTATTTTGAAGTTGCCACCACCTGTTTCTGCAATTCTTTGGGAATTATGAAATGTAATTATTATTTTGTGTAAACATAAAAAATGCTTTTCAGCTTTTAGACTGCTAGAATTAGTCATTCTTGGCTGTAATGAAATTGCAATAATGCAGGAATTGGGCACCTGGTTCAGCACAGATTTCTCCTGCCAGCAACACACTCTTGAGATGGGTTCCTAGCTCTACAGCATCTGAAAAAACAGAGTACTAACATAATATCCATTGCAGGCCTTGCAGAAACACTTCTCTCACCTGACTGTTGTAGAGCTCTTCCAAATCCATTACAGATTTAATTGATTTGGACCTGCAAATTTCTTCTTCTGTAAATTTCCGTATATCTGGATGAACCTTCTGAGCTCTTCCCAAACGCAAGAAGCCTACTTTGAATTTGGCTAGCTTCAGCAGGATATTGTCCACAGCAGTGTGTGTAAAACTAGTCAGAAG